GGAGCGGCCGCCGGGCCTGGGAGCAGCTGCGGGACGGGCGGCGGCGGCGACGGGACGCGGAGGGCCGGGGGCGGCCGGCGTGGACTCCCGGCAGGCGTGGATGCTGCTGGCCGGGAGCCCCGGGCGGGGAAGCGGCGGTCGGGCCCGCGGCGGGCCGGGGGCGGACACGGCACCGGCGGGCGGCCGCTCTCCGGGAAAACCGCCCCCGGCAGCGGAGCAGGGCAGTGTGCCAGGGGCTGCCCTGGACCCCCCCGCCGTGCCCGTGGAGCTCCTGAGGGAGCTGCAGATCCTGCTCAGAGGTACCGGGGCGGGAGTCGGAGGCCAGGGCGGGAGCGAAGGGGGGACAGCGACCCGAGCACAGTAGGGCTGGGCGGCAGAGCCTGGAAAAGTGGAGGTTCCTTCCTAACGCCGAACCCTGGTGGGGTTTGGGGTCAGGAATGGCAAAGGAGCAGGCAGAGGTGCAGAGGACAGCCTGGGAAGGTCGTAAGGAAGAGGAAGAACGCAGCCCCCAGGCCTGGGCCCATCATCGCGTGAACGCAGCCTTCCACTGCCGAACGCGCGAAGACATCTCTGTGGAGCAGAGAACACGACAGGAGCTCCAGCTGTTCTACATCGTTAGTGCCCAGCCTGCCCCTCTTCCCTGTCTGCGGGGACACCCGCCCAGGCGCCGGGACTCCTTCTCTAACTCCAGCCATTCCCTATCCCAGCCTGAGAGGGAGAAGATGTTTCACCGTGGCCTAGGGCTGAACCTGACCAGTGGGCAGTACACAGCCCCCATCGCAGGGTACTACACCTTCACCACCACGCTGCACATCGGTGAGCCCTTGGGCAGCCCCCTGGCCCTGGCGGGGTGGTCTGGGATGGCTCTCACCCCCGGCTCTGTCCCAGTGCACAGGGAGCCGCCGAAAAAGAGGCAGGTGTGCCGGGGGACACGCCTGCGCGTGCTGATCTGTGTGCAGTCCCGCTGCCAGCACAACAGGTATGGCAGGGCACAGCAAGGGAGAGGGGAAGGAGTCCAGCATCTCCCTGGGCCAGGGAGAGGGGAAGGAGTCCAGCATCCCTGGGAAAGGAGGGGGTATGCTCTCCCCAGCACCACCCTCCCTCTTCTGCAGAAATTTGGAGACTTCGTCCCAGCTGGAGAGCAGGGGTGACCTTTTCACCATCTCTGTCACCGGAGTCCTTTACCTGCAGGTTAGTGGTGTCAGCACTACTGGGGACAGTACTGGGCAGGAAGGTGCCTTCTGTGGCCCCAGCTCAGGGCTGGACATCAGGTCTGCTTCTCCAAGCCCCAAGGACACTCAGGGCAGAGCTCTGCTGGTGCACTGTAGCACAGACTGTGGCTGGACTGCCCAAAAGCCTTGTGATGTTCTTTTCCCAGAAGGAAGGGTGTGGGCACCTCCACCTCTCAGCTGCTGCGCACAGGGGAGAGATCTCTCCTTGGCTCTGCCAGGCCGTGCCTGGTGCCCAAGAGAGGTGTCCCAGCCCTGCTAAGCCCTCTCTCCCCCCAGGCCGGGCAGTACGCCTCTGTTTTTGTGGAGAACGCTGCAGGCTCTCCCATCACTGTTCGAAGTGGCTCCGATTTCAGCGCCGTTCTGCTGGGGGTGTGAAGAGGCACCAAGCAGGGCACTGAACCTGTGCCAGGAGCAGCCAGACCCTTCCCTCTGCCAGCCACGATCACATCTCCCCTGCTCAGCACCGAGCCCAGGGAAGACCATTTGCTATTGCAGGAACTGCAGTCCGGTCTGATACTGCTCACGGTGCAGAACCAGCTGAAGATTAACAAAAGATCATGGAGAAGATGATGATAATAAAACAGCCTGACAAGGACCTAAAGGCATTCACTTTTAACTAAAGGCTAGGCCTGGAAATTTATCTTGGAAAATGCTGCTGACAGTGGCAGGTGGCAGATGTCAGATGGTTGCCTTCTCAGGGCTCAGCTCCCACCATGCCTGGGACAAAGCCCCCCACCTCCTTTTTTGCCCTCAGTGGACTTCCCTCCCCTGCCCAATGTCTTAGCAGCCCAAACCAGATTATGGATCACTTTAGCTGCCCTGCAGTGTATGAGCAGTGAATGTTTGCTGGCAGAAGCAAACATCCTCCACGCTTTGAAGCAATGTCCCAGTAACGTGGCACATCTGATTAAAGCAAATTCTGGTGACATGGCTTTCCACGCCAGGCGTTCCCTGCCCATGGCACGGGGCCCAGGCTGTGGGCAGCACAGATACGCTCTTTGCTCCAGCTCCGATAGCTGCCTGAGCTGAAGATGGGCACAGGGCTACATGACTGAGCGAGGGCTGTGGGAGAAGGACCCGGACGCTTGATTTCTTAGTAGCACTTAGTACTGGGCAAGTTGTGCCAGCAACACCTCAAGATAGCCTGAGCTGCACCCAAGCCCCACCTTCCCCCAGGGATCCATGCACACAGGCAGGAGGAGGCATCTTCTCAGTGCTGAACCTTGCTCAGGAGGGCTTTTCTGGCCCTGCCTGCTCTTCTCCACAGGCTGCACCTCCCTGAGGAGCCTCGTGAAGTAGCTGTTGCAGCGATTTGTGGGTAAGGGTGTTTGGACCCGGGGACGAGGGGGGTTAGGCTCCAGCTGTACAGTCTGAATGCTGACTTCTCCCTCAGGGCAAAGACAGCTTCTATCTGAAAGCAAAGCTGTGCTTCTCCCACAGCTGATCCGGTGGGCAGCAGCCTCCTGGCAGGGATGAGGCCCCTGCAGCTCCTGCCCAACCAAGGAGGTTGGCCCTGGCATCACCTCCCAGTCCCCATGCATGATAAGCCAAGGGAGCCTCACTCTGATCAGCTGCCTCTCTTCCTACTACACACACCTGAAAAGCTACAAAAGGACTCACTGTTCAAGAGTGGGGCTTGCCTGGCTGTAAGCTGTCCTGTGCCTGTGAGGTATCAGGAGCCCAGCACACTCCAACACAAAACTGAAAGAGCTGATTAATTTGGAGGTACTAGAGGGGTAATTTAAGTGTTGGGAGGGGACAGAAGCTCAGTCAGCTCCAAGGGAGAAGACCTGTATGCAGAGCACTTGCACATGGGCCACCCTGAAGGGTGATCTTGGGAGCTCTGCTCAGTAGCAGGATGCTGCTTGAGCACTGAGCCAAGGCGAGTGCATTTTCAGGAAACCTCCTGCAGACCCCACCCTACCAGGAAATTCAAGCAAGTAATTTTTTTACTTCCACTAAAGCTGGGGCTGAACCTGCCTTTCTAACTGTCTGGCTACTCCCAACCATGGTGAGACCTGGTCCATAGCACTTTCTTTTCCCCTTTGCCCTGAAAAACTGACATTTTACAGGAATTATTATTAACCACAACAACTACTGTTGTACCATAATGCTGCATATTCCGATCCTAACTGGAGCTGTGCTTTCTGAATTCTTCCTAAAGGGAAGGAAAGAAGCGTTTTAAGAGGAGGGAGAGGAAGGGAAGACAGTCAGAGAAGAACAAGCTGACATTCTTCTCACCAGCTCACACTGGAATGCAGAGGGGCCTCCTGGAGGGAGCCACAGAGCTGGGAGCATGTCAGCTCTCACAGCATGGGCAGAGCCCTCCCCAGTGCATGAGGTGGAAAAAGGGAGAGGTGAGAAAGGAGGACAAGTTGCTCTTCTGAGATCTGCCATCAGGGTTTCTTTTGCTACACAGTCTGAAGTAATTCTGTGCTACTTTGTCTGGGCTCTCCAAATTTGGCTTTTGTGAGCAGAAGCAGCAGAGTGTGTTGCTAACAAAGGGATCTCAGCTCATCCTGCAGTGCAACCTTATATCAAAGTACACAGGAATGGCTGGGAGCAGAACAAGCTGGCAGAGGGCAAGCACTACCCAAAATCTGTGCCGGACACCCAGTTCCTTCCTCAGTCCTCTGCAGGAGATGTGGAGAGTTAGTGTGAGCCAGGCTGTGTCAACCGACTGGTGCTGGAGCAGAAATCCATGAAAGATGGTCAACCCACCTGTCCAAACAACAGGACAGCTTTTGTGTGCTCCACTAAACAGATAGCCCAGGATCTGGGACCACCTCCCAAAGTTCTGGGAATACAGATAACAGAAATGAGTCTCGGAAGCCTCACAGCCCTGTCCAGGGCTATGCACAAAATGGCAGATACCACTGCATCAACCTGCCCACCTCCCTGGGACTGCAACTGCCTCCTCACAGCAAGGAGGTTGTGCAAGTAACCCGCACGCAGACCCCTTGGCTCACCTCCCTCCCTGCCCCGGTTCACCCACAGCATGGGAAAGCTATGTAATCAGAAATTTATGTGCTTTGGTCCAATCCATTTAGCTTTCGTTCTGTCATTTGGTCTTAAGCCAAATTTTCTCTGGAAAACAGCACACTGTCTGCAGCAACAGCTGGTAGAGGCACTGGGTCAGGATCAGATACTGGACGTTTATTAGCAACAAGTACCTAAAACCTGAGATGCAGGCTCTGTGCTTGCCTGTGCTATCTGAGGAGCAGGCCTGTAGCTCAGCTGCCTGGCAGGTGTATTTGAAAACACTTTTCCCAAAAAATATCAGGAGCAAACTCCAGCCACATTTTCCATATCAGCAGTGGGGTAAAACTCTCAACACATTCTGCAAGCAGAGGGCAGGTACATTGCTGCTCTGCAAGCAGTGTTCGTGTCCCTCAGCTGCAGGCAACCTCACAGCCCAGCTTCAGAGTCAAAAGATTTCCTTCCCAGCACAAAGAGGACAGCCCACACCACACCCCAAGCCAGTGGCTACAGTACCAACAGCCTGTAGAGTACAGTCTGTCCAGGAGCTCCCACAGAGCCGTAAGAACTCAGGACTCTCCCAGAACCTTGCACAAAGTTCAAGGAAATGGACAGCAGAACTGCCCCATTTCAAACAGCTGGCAGAGCTCATGCTCCCAGATGCCTCTTGCTAGCATCCCTGCCAAATGGGTTTACTGTGGTTGCCAAGACATTCACAGAGGGCTGACAGGAGCTGTCTGCATAGGCTGATCCACATTGGCAGCCACTTAGCAAACCTTGCTAGCTAAGTGAGCTAAGACTATTAGAAAAAAACCCAACTTTATTTACACTGAAGAGCGGGACCCTCCCTCCCTCGGCCACATATGCACACAGACAGACCTCTCCCTTTCCTTACATGCGCCGCACCTCATCCCTCAGTGCTCTATCCGGACCACCATGACCGTGACGTTGTCGGCCGAGCCTCGCTGCACTGCCTTGTTGGCCAGTCTGTTACACGCAGCTTCGTATCGAGCGTCTGCTTCCAGCTTCCCTTCTCTCATCTGGATGTTCTTATCCTGTTCGGACAAGGAAACACGACACTGATTGCCCCCAGCAAAGGCAGGTACGAGCAAATTGTATTTTCCAAGCGTGGGGAAGCAAAACAAACACAGACAACATCGGGAATAAGGGAGGATACCCTGGCAGAAGTCTGTGTGATGCCCCCTGCACTGCCAAACCCAGCCCCCACGTTGCATTCTCCTCACCTCCAGGCAGGACACAATGAAGTTCACAGCTTCTTCTGGTGTAAAGACTTTAAAGAGGCCATCACATGCTATCAGAATGAACCTGGAAATCAAGTGGAGACAGGTTCCAAGGCTGAATCTTTGGCTCCTCGGCTACAGCAAAATCCCTCCAATTTATTTTATGAACATCCACACTCCATTGCAAAGGAAAGATACCATAAAGCTTATCTGAAAATCCTTCTGAACCTACTATCATGGAGCTGAGGGAATTCAAAATACAGGGCAAAGAGCCAGGTAACGAATGTATGACCTAGATCAGGACACTCTGGCAGTCCTGCCAACACCACATTCAACACCCTGCTGGAAAGCTCCATTATTTCTCTAAGAACTACTTCTTTCCTTTGAGTCCTTTTCATTCACATATTTTCCCTATGAAGCCCCTAATGCAAGGAAATAGAGAAATACAGCTTCATCCTTTGTGTGCATCGCTTTAAAGCCTTTACATTTCTACACTTCTGAGCTACGTGATAATTTAAATACATAAATTCAAAAGAAAAGCAAGCAGCAGAACTGTGATGGGAAAACTCTGTCAAAAAGTATTGCCACAGGCTACAAAGGGTTGAAGGGATACAAAGCCCAAGGCAAGGACAGCATCCTAGGAGGGATCCTAGGATGGGGGAGACAGCCCACTGTGCACTACTCCCTGCCTGCACATGGAACTGTATTAACCAGGAGCCCTAACCAGAATCACCAGACAAGGAAAACTACAACCAACCCACAGAGGTGGTCAGCCTGCACACGGCTCTGAAGACATCGTTTCAGAGCCTGATACTCAGAGTATCTTTAGAAATATTTTAGTGGATCCCGTGATATGGAACTCTAATCCCAGAAAAAGCAGCAGTACTGGGTTACACTCTCACCTCTGAGAGCCTGCAGGGCCATAGTGACACGAAAGCTCACTGCAATTTGTCACTGCCAATCACACTAAGGAAAAGTATCTCAAATCTTCAGATATCAGAGCCGAATGTGATGGTATTTATGGGCACTACAGCTGCTAGAAACAACTCTTGGACAGGATGGACTTCTAAGAAGTTAAGCCTTAACCAACTGCTTGAACACTGGTGTGTGAACTTAGAGCACAAAGAACATCTAAGGCTCATGTATGCAGTGACTGCTATGAGGCTGGTTCCTCCAACAGGGGCCTTCACAGTATCTTGGCAGAGCAGCAGCATTATCCCACTGTACTGATAAGGAACATGAGCAGAGAGACATCAGCAATAAGAGCATCCTCTAATTCTGGGGATCAGTCTGAAGTGCCTTGGCCCCAACAGCAGAGCAAACAGGGTTGTGCAGCTTGTGCTACTTGTGCTGAGCAGAGCAGGGACTCAGCTAACCCCCAGTGCATGGGCACACTTTACCTGTCGTTGTGTGTGAGTTGGCAGCGTTTGATATCTGGCACAGAGATAACACCGCAGCGTTTGTACTGGCCGTCCCCAATGGAGCGGGAAACCTCCAGCACTCCTAGGACTCTTCCGTCCCTGCACAGGGAAAGAAAACACTGAAAGCCCTCCCCACACATGTGTATTTTGCTGCACTGCCTGATGGGGACACGTCGTGGTGCGTTCAGCTGCCTCATACAAACAGTAACCCACTTCCCCAGCAAGTTCACATCTTCCCTTCAGTCTCCTTCCCTTTCTGGATGTTTGCGTGAAGCTCTGGGAAACAAGTGATGAGGTGGAAATGAAGTCAGGAGACTTCAAGGCTGTTTTCTGTCTCCCTGTTTTAACTCAAGTCCTGCTTAGCCTAGAAAGCAGAGTTATATGTGAGCTGAACTCCCAGAGGCATAGGTTTGAATACAGAGATTCCTTTCTGGCAAGATATCTAGCGAACTGCACTTCCATAGAAACACAGAGTGACAGAGGCAAGAGCAGATTTGAGACAGCAGCCCCCCCCTATCAGGACACCAAACCCTACAGACTGGCTGGGCTATGGGCAGTTCCCAGGAGTGAAAACCATGGCATGTTCTCCTGATCACTTGGCCTTTAGCATCAACCAGTTCTGTGAAACCCAAGTTACAATCCTCCTTAGGAATCAGGCCTGGTTTGCTAAACTTTTTTAATTAAATCAAGTTCCCGATAGAAACAGCTTCCCACACTTCACCTTTCCAACAATCTAGCATCTTCTCCCCAAAAAGGCTCTTCTTTGCCCTCTGGGAATACACAAGCTCATTCATCTCATAGTCCAAGCAGCCCCGCTTGAGATAAAAGCAAGAAGCAAGGCACATCACAGAGAAGAGACCTGATGCTCACACATTTTGTGACTTATCTCTTGGGTCCAAAATATTGAACTACAAGCAGTGGGAGAGGCTCCCAGGCAGCCAGGGACCAGTTCTGAAAAAAGCTAACAGACACTAGGCCATCTCTTTGCTGTGTGCAAAGATAGATCAGTGCTAAGCATAAGCAGCAGCATGTGCTCTCCAGAGATAAGGGGAATAAAGCGCTCCAGACACGGCAGCATGACAGAATTGAGCCCACCCCTCCCCACCCCGGGGGGCATTCTGCCTCCACAGGCAGGACAATACTTCACCTGCACTGAATCCTCTCTTTGTAAGGATGCCATTAAATCAAGAAACGGCCTTCAAAGGAGGGAGAGAACCTAGCCAGGGAAATCAGACATGGCTGCTGTGTTGGGCAACAGCTCCCCAAAGAGCCCAAACTCCTATTTGCACAGGAACATTAGGGTTCTCACTCCAGAAACCTCCCTCCTACTGCAGACAGTCTCAGGGCATCAGCTAACCTCAGGGGAGCAACACCAACTGACATTGAGGGCTTCTCGTGCCCTCCATCCCCCCTCTCACAAGACAAGCTGAGAGCAGTCATGCTGCAGGCAAGGCAATGACTTCTGTTCAGCATCACAGTGTGCAGAAAGCACTAACTTCTTCAGCAATCCAGTCCAGGTCTGTAGGTCCAAGTCTGTAGGTGAAGCTTAAGCATGTCCATGCTGGTATCCCACTGCCAGGCTTTCACATGGGTCTTGCCTTGGCCATCGTAAGTCTCTGGAAAACCAGCCCCCATCAACCAACTCCAGCCACCAAGTCCTTACACACCTCAGGCACCACTGTGTCTCCCACAGGCAGCACCAAATTCTCTCCAGGCTCTCACTAGCATGCGTATGGAGCTCAGGAAACTGCCACAACCCAGTGCTCAGGCCCAATATTAGGCCAGGGTTTAGATTTGCTCACTTACACCCTTCAGGCACTTACCTGACATTGCCCCCAGCTTTCTGTATCCGCATACGCTCCTCATATTGGGTGGGATTGTGCTCTTTACTGAGGCTTAAGGCTGTGTGTTTCTGACTCTCTTCATTGTAACGACACAGAATCGCCTGTGCTGACAAAAGACCACCATAAGTAAACAACAACACAATGGCAGCAACAACAACTGGAGAGAAAGCCCCAAGTTGTAGTGAATGGGGCTACATTGGGCTAGTGGTGTTCCTCAGGGTTCAGTCCACCATGGGAGGTGCTGTTCAGTACTTCTATCAGTGATCTCGATGCGAGAGTTGAACGTACCACTAGCAAGTTTGCTGATGACAAACTGGGAGTGCTGTTGACTCTGGAGAGACAACAGACCTTGCAGAGGGATCTGGATAGATGGACCAGGTAGCTGTCAGTGGCATGAAATTTAACAAGTCCAAGTGCCAGATTTTGTGCCAAGACCAAGTGACGCTAAGCACAAGTATAAACAAAGGAACAGCTGGGAAGCAGCCCTGCAGAAAGGATCTGGGGATGCTGGTTGGCAGCAGCTCGGTAGGAACCAGTGGTAGCCAGCAGGGCAGGAGAGGGGATGGTCCCACTGTGCTCAGCACTAGTGTGGCCTCACCTGGAGCCCTGTGTGCCAGGGTGGGCCCCATCATTAAAGATGATGTGAAGGTACTGGAATGTGTCCAGAGAAGGAAAACCATGCTGGTGCCAGGGCTGGAAGACATGTCCTGGGAGGAGGCTGAGGGCTCTGGGTTTGTCTGGTTTGGAGAGAAGGAGGCTGAAGGGCGACCTCATCACTCTCTGCAGCCTCCTGAGGAGGGGACGTGGAGAGGGAGGTGATGATCTGATGGGAACGGCCCAAAGCTGTGCCAGGGGAGGTTCAGACTGGACATTACAGAGCGAATAACCAAATACTGCAACAGGCTTCCTGGGGAGGTGGTTGATGCCCCCAGACTGTCAGTGTTCCAGAGGCATCTGGACAATGCTGTAACTTTAGGACAGCCCTGAACTGGTCAGGCAGCTGGACCAGATGATTGTCGTAGGTCCCTTCCAACTGAAATATTCTATTCTAGATACTGTGAGATATTAAGCACCACCAAGAGAGAGCTTCTACACACAGTTGTTTTACACTGTGGGAGACAACAAAGAAATACCCTGTACCCACCCAAAACAAGATGCTTTGTAGGAACAGCTGGGAAGCTCAGGGCAACTGGGACATCGTACACAAATACCTCGTCCTTAAGGGCAAATAAAGCTCTGTGCAGAACAAAGATGCCAGCAGTGGGCTTCTCCATTCTGCTTACCCGGCTGTCCCCGAGGTTGGCTATGTAGAGAACATTGTCGACAGCTAAGACACAAGTAGCTGTGGAGCCATCCTTCCAAGCTGGCTTCCTGAAGGGAATAAAAATAAGATAACTAAGGGGGAATAAAGCTTCTTGAAGAAGTTAGTCACAGAGTGCTCCTGGGGACTCAAGGAAGAGCGCCAACACGCAGCAGTCAGGCAGCACAAGCCCCCAGCAGCTGCCTGCAAGCAGCTCGGGAAACTATTGGTGGTAAACAGCAAACTGGACAAGGACAGAGGAACTGCACAGAGCACTGACTTCTGAGTGCACAGCCAATGCCCAGGTGCTGTAAATACTGCCAGACACAGCACCCACACCAACCCTTCCTCACATTCAGCTCCCAGGAAACCTCATCTGTGAGCAGAACAGGCTAAGCTTTGACGACTGCCCAGGACCTATAGCATCACAAGCAAACAAGCACCCCATGCTCCTCCTTGGGAGGCTCCTTCTTTGCAGCAAAAGGAAGGCACAGCCAGCCCTGCAGCAGAGCTGCCTTGTTTTTTGCTTACATTTGCCTTCCTTTTGTAACAATACTTCTCCCCCCCACCTCACCTCAACAGCAACACCACTCACTCAGTTGCTCTCCTGGTATTTCACTTGCTGTAGTTAAGCTTTTATCTCTAGAGCTCTAGGTAAAATGAGAAGCATTTCTTAGATTACAGCTGCCAGACTAGTCTTCCCCACAAAGAAGCCCAGCCATGATGCCACTCTTCACTGAAATCAGCTTTGAGAGACTGATTTCCAGATATATTTTATCCAGTTTCTCCTAATTTGAAGGTGTGAATGAAGAATGAAGATGATTAATTTAATTGTCAATACAGCTATCACTAGTGATCCTTTGTAGTGCCTTTGCCATAAGTCACGTTTCTGACCAGAGGCTGGTTTGGGAATGACACTCTTGTAACAGACTCAAGGAAGCTTCTTCCTTTTGCCTGGTCAACCTTGCTGTTCTGATTAGGCTTAAGAGACTGAGTCAGTCTGCAATTTACTTCAAATTGAAAGTTTTCAGGGAATCTTGGAATCGAATGCATCAACAGTCTCTCCATCAGTGATAGAGGTATTACTATGAAATAACAGTAGTAAAAAAGCCCAAACAAACAAAAAACCTGCAAATGTGAGTAGGATTGGTAACAAAGTGATTGTATTTTAAATACAATCTATATCTTCCCTAGTCCACACAGTTGGTGTGTCAGTTCAGGGTAGACTGAGAGGTCAGGGTGCTTGGCACTGCACACCCAGCTGTGAGGCAGGCTGGCATTTACCCCACAGAGGGACATTCTTCATCAACATCTCTGTTTTCAAAAGAGTTCAAGAAAGCAAGACAAATTTACATTGGGAGAGCTAGGTCTTTTGATACAGTGCATTAAAAGCCACCTCAGAGATGTGCTCCAGCCTGGCAAACAAAGCTCTAAAGAAAGCTGCGCTCAGTGGCCTCTAAGATCCCATCTTAGGCAAGTCAACTGGGACAAGTCAATTTAGCAACATGGCAAGTCTTTAAAAAGAAGGCAAACAAGATGCCCTGGTAAGGACAGAGGTGGACATGTTTTGCTTCCTTCCTTCACCATGAATGTGTATTTTAGTCTAAGGGGTCCTATAGACCACTATCCACAGAGTAAGACCAGAACATGCCGTGATCTAATTCTAGCAAGCACTCAGCTGGCAGAGTCACAGCCTGACAAAATGGAGCTGTGTGGAGTTTTGCCAAAGCACAGACACGACTCAAGGTTTCCTCTGCCCTGCTCATAACTCAGACCTTGGAGATGCACGCTAAGAAATACAAACACACAGAAAGCATTTGCACTTACTGGCTGGATGCCTGTTTTAGAAACTCTTCATCTGTGTGTTTGAAGGCGTCCAAAAGGCATCTCTTCACAGTTTTCTCCACGCTGACCACCTCACCTGCCAGACAGAGAAAACTGCAACTAAGCTCCAACCAAAACATATCTGACCTATCCCAGTCCATCCCTTTGCTCATCCAACACCCAGTGGACCTCAGTGCATCTCTCAGACCCTGTGCAGAGCAGCTGGGGCACATCCTGGGCTCACCCTACCAGAAATCTGTGCAGTAGCGTGTACGGAGAGTTTATGACATGAACCTCTCCAGTATTTTCACACATGAAGTGGCACTGCTAAAACTGGCAACAGCACATCTCACACTCGCTTAGCAGTTCACAATGGGCTACTTGCACTCTTGTGCCAAAAAGGCTTCTAGCCCTCTTCCCTGGGAGGCAGTGCAGTCTTGCAAGCCCACTGAGAATGGGGGATGGGAAATATAGAACTACACCCAAACACATCAGTTTCCCTACCCACTGCCACAATGTGGCGTCCCAAAAAGGGATGGTTGTCCTACAGCCCTTATTCCATTCCTCTCACCTTTAGGAAATTTCTTAATCAGGTTTTGGTGCAGATTCTGTGCTGCAAATTTCGAGGCTCGGACTCCCCCATGGCCATCAAAAACAGCAAAGTACGAGACACGTGTGCTGTGAGGGAACAAAAAGTAGCAGAAAGAGGCTAAGAAAGGCCATTAGCCAGAGAGTGGGATTGAGTACATTCCTCTCCATAACAACTGTGTCAGCCAGATCAAATAAACCCTGCTCTCCAAGGCACAAATGTAGCAGGTCTGAGTTCACATTTACATGGTTTACATGTTCTAGCACTGAGCTGAGAACTTGCTTGTAATTTTCCACCCCACAAAAAAATGAAGGGCAGAAGAGCATATAGATTACAACTTGGCATAAAAGCAGCTAATCATTTCACTTCAGGGACACTGCAACTCCCCAGCACTACAGACATCTACAGTCTAACCAATCCTTCAGTACCTGCCTAAACTTGTTCCACCTATGCTACAGACAAGAAACTCGGAACCCTCAGCACACGGAGCTCTTGGGACAGTATTTGTTCAGAAGCTAAGTTCAATATCAGGGTGATGTTTGAGAACATTCCTTTAAATACACACACTCCCATTTAAACACACTTAGATGTGTTACTTTGCTTGGAGATTTAAACTTTTCAAACGAGAAACTTCTGACATCCATCTTCTCTTCTTCCAGCATTCTCCATTGCCACAGTTTGAGCTTTACACATTTATAAGCCCCCAGGCAAGGCCTGATTACTTATAATGTATTTGTTATAATACATTATACTTATAATATATATATTATATATATAATATATATACTTATAATATGTAAATTACTATAATGTATTTGTTTACACTAGCCCTGGCAACACAGCTAGCGATGATTCATCACAGGTCTCCCAGTAACAAGCCCAAACCACACACCACAGCACAGGCAGGACGAGTGCCTGCTCAAAGCAAAATGGATCATCTCATGGGCTTAGCTGAAGCAAGCTGGAGCTCCCTCATCCCCATGATGGGTGTTCTGGCAGTTGGGGCCCACTTACATTTGGGAGGGCAGAGGCCGGCATTCCTCGGTGATATCATTTAGGATGACATGTGCATCCTGCATGTCTTCTCTCTCACCTTTTCTCTCTGCCACGTAACCCTTCAGTCCAAGAACGTCCACTGATCCTAAAGGGGAACAAAGCAGACACGTGCACGCAAATCAAACTCCTCCGTCTCCTTAGCTAAGGCTAAAAAAATCAGGACATTCTCAGCTTTCAGAACCCTGTCCTGGCACTGCGGTCCTCATAGTGCAAAAACAAATCTGGCATTTTATTTTGTAACATGGGTTTTTACAGGCCCCCAAGGTCAGCAGCTCTAAAAGCAGCTAATTTTGGCAGGCACCTGCAGCCAAGCAGGACTGCTGGGCATCGGACAGAGCTCTTACCAAACAGGGGTGGGGGACAGGGTGGGCAGGAGAAGCATGTGGCACTGAACCTGCAGATTAAGTAGAACACCCTCTTTAAAGAGGGTGCTAAGGACAGGAAATCCAGGTCTGCTGTTCCTAGAACATGTCCTTTCCTTTGTGCGCTGGAACATATCTTATTCCCAAAGCCACAACACAGCACACAGGCACTTAAATCAAAGGCCCTGTATGAATCAAGCCTCTCTCTCTCCCTCTCTGGCTTCCTTAGCAGTCAGTAGGGAGATCTGTGGATGTGGCAAAAGAAACTGGTGTGGCTCTAGCCTTCCAGAGGCTGCCAATCCCCCTCTTGGCAGCACAGGCACTTATCCTGCCAGTGCTGAGGTGCCTGCTGCTCAGCTTCTCCTACTTCAGCAGGGACGGTAGGGAGGCCCAGGGGAAGAAGGCAGAGAGTGCCAGGAAGCTTAAGCAGCTTCCACAGAGCCCTGCAGCAGTTTGTTCCCTACGAAAGACTGAAAAGGCAAGCGGACTGAAGAACCAAAGCTTAGCTTTGTTCTGGACTTACTCAGCCCAATGCTAAAAGTACAAATTGAGTACATTTGTTTTCAAATTGTCTGAAAACCTTTACAAACTTTCTTTTCCACAAGTTCTTCCCTGCCATTCTTCTCTTCCTCCTCCTCCTCCAAGGACTTTCTCTTCTGCCCTTTCTCTTGGCTCCCTGCTGATGAGACTTGCTCAGTAGCACTGGAGGCTGAAAGAAAGCAAAAATGCAGGTGGCTGAAGCGTTCCAGCTCTGTTTTACTTGCATAAATTCAGCAGCAAGTCCTTTTATACCAAGGCACACTCAGGGGTGCAGGCTCACACTCTTACACAGCATTAAGTGCCCAGAACAAAAACCCTAACCAACCACAAATGCACACACAGAGCTTCCCTCAGTGTGTACAACCCATGGCACACATCGCTGCCCAACCCAGGGAGTGCTGATTTTACCACTTCACGCTGTGTGACTCCACCTCAGACACAGGACAGCTGTGTTTGTCTGGCAGACTGTTTGATTCTCCCCAACAACTCACAGGTTGGTTTTTTTCTTAGCTACCAGCCTTTTTTTGCGGTTAATTGCTCAGGAAGTTAACAATACAGTTTGGAATATGTGGCAGGAATACTTCTAATTTATTTATTATTGTTATTATTTTTCGCTATAAACTCTGCCCACAACAATGCAAAGAAACATTTTATTACTCTGAATATGCATTAGGTGGTTCAAAAGCCAGGTTACAAACTAAAGCTAGCAAGCGAAACCTGATTCCCACGACGTCAGAACTCTGGTCTTTTCCTTCTGAAGACTTAGTCTCATTTAGTATAGTGAATTAGCTCACCTCCTCCCACATGAAAGCAAACACATGGCTGCATGTAGAAAGCCTTGACAGAGGAGCAGTCTGGGTTTGAAGTCATTTTCAGCAAGAAACAAGGAGGTAGCCTGTGCCCACAGCAGAAATGCACCCAGGGCCATGGCAGCACCAGGGCACACACGTACCTTCCCTCCCAAAACAGGGAGCTTTCAGACAGACAATGGGGGGGTCCCCAAAAGACAGAGATGTACTTGTGGGAACAGGCCTAACTTTACTTTTTTAGATTCAGAATCCTGATTTAAACAACTGGGGCACAAACAGATTGCCACGACCAGCGTCAGCTGACCTGGACACCAGGTTAACTTGCTGTGTGTCCAACACAACAGGCTGCATCGTGGGCTTTCCTGAGAAGGGTGGCTCAGCAGAGGCTGGTGAGTGACACAGCTCCTTACCTGGGTCACCACTGCTGGCTGGTGGGAGATCATCAAAGAGCAAAGAGCCTCCTTTTCCTGGAGCACAAGAAAAAGGAAAAAAGAACTAAATCCCTTCGTCTCTTCGAGGGAACAATGCTCCGTATATGTCCCTCCTGAGTTACACAAATTATGCCAGTTTACCAAAGTGAGCCAAACTTCTACTTGTCTCACTGGATGGTCAGGCAAACCAAAGCCTGATATTTAACAAAAGTGATATTTAACAAATGTAAACATTTGTTTCAGGGAACGAAACGTTTTACAGAATACATGTGGAACATCTATAACACCCCGGTTTTAAAACCACACAGGATGCAGCTGGTCTGCACACCAGTACTGATAACCCTACTGCCTTAAGCCTGTTTGACAAAGAACAGGGTTTACGCAGGTTTCATCTCAAAGAGATGCTGGTGCAAAAAACATGGAAAGCCAAAATAATGGCAGGAACAGAGCACCCATACCTGAGTCGGCACTGCTGGATGGCGGGAGATCCTCAAAGAGCAGAGGCCCTTTCTGGACATCTTTCCCTGCGAGGCACCAGGGCAGAGTCAGGACCCATTGTAGGCGCTCTGGGGGTGGTTTTTGGAAGGATTGCCCCCTCCCCAGCGAGCACAGGTGGGGTAAACCAGGAGAGCTTGGGCTACCTTTCTCCCATCTCTAACTTTGACAGCTGCTACACAAGCACAACAACCTTAGCCTGGGGCTAAGATGAACTTTTGTCTAGAAAACAGCTTTGTTTTTTTTTTTTGCTAGCAATCCACTGAGCTCATCAGCAGCACAAGGAAGGAAAAGGCTCCAACACGGCTTAAACCGCAGGGGATCGAGTCCCAAGTGAACAGAAAACCACAAAACACCCTCAAACCCTGCAATTTCTCCAGTGGTATTTAACCCGCCCCCTCACCCTCCCCTTCGCCCCTCAGGCCCCTGCAGGAGTCCCGTTACCCAGGGCCGAGCTGCAGCAGGCCCGGCGGGGCCCGCGGCCTGTCAGGCCGTACCCAGGCGCGGCCACGGGCCGGGCCCGGGCAGGGCCGGAGGGTGGCGCGGCCCCGCGCGGGTCGCGGCCTCACCCGCGGCGCCGCCGGGCTCGGGCAGGTCCCCGAACAGATCCATCGCCGCCGCTCCCGCCGCCGCCAAACCCCCGCGGCGCCGATCGGCGCCCGCTCCGGCGCCGGAAGTGGGCGCGCGGCGCGGCGGCGAAGGGGCGGGAGCGGAAGGGACGTCACGGGCCCCGCCCACGGGGCGCACGTGCGCCAGAGGCCGCTGCGGGGCCGCAGCGCGGGGGCCGCCTCGGCCGGTCGCAAGCAGGGCCGGGCAGCGTTGCCGTGCTGCCGGTCGGTGCTCCGGCCTGGCCTCGGCCCGGCCCCGGCCCCGGCCCGGCCCGGCCCCGCCCCCGCCCCTGCCCCCGCCACCCCCCCCCCCCGCTTCATCTGCCTCCCCCCGCCGGCCGCAGTGAGGAGCCTCAGCCGCACGGAATTTGCGTTAAATGCCACATTTATTTCAGAACCGAACAAGCCTCACGTGCGCACGGACGGCCGGGACCCGCGGTACCGCCACCCCCACCCCGGCGGGAATCGCAGGGCGGGCAGTGCGGCCTCCCTCCCTCCCTCCCTCCCTCCTACTCCTCAGGCCCGGGCTGCCCGCCGGTGCCCGCCTTCCGTGCCACCGCTGCCCTGTGGAGTTTCCTTTCCGGTGGGGCTCCCAGTCGTGCCTAAACCTCCGTTTTGTGTTCCTTGTCCCGGGGCGGTGGTGGAGGGGATGGGTGCCAGGGTCCTGACCAGGAGCGCGGTGCTGGCCAGAGTGCGGCTGGTAAGACGGCAGGGGTGGCCTCTGTGCCGGGGACAGGCGCGGCAGCATCTGGCGGGCAGCCCTTTCTCCTTTGGCCCCGACCCCAGCCGAGCCGTCTGCTCTGCAGGTTTGCTGGCCTCAGGCACGGTTCGGCTCTGGCTAGAGGAAGCCCTTCCCCTGGCTGCATCTCGCCTGTGGCACAGGCAGCACGGCCTGGCCCTGGCCAGTGAACCTGTGTCTGGTCCCTGACAGACACGGGTCCTATCTCTGCCAGAAGCTGCCTCCACGCTGGAAGAGCCTCCCCTTGCCCCTCAGGCACCCACTGTTGCCATCCTTAGCCCCTTACATTGAAATTTAGGATGGTACCAACTAGTCCTTGTCCAGGGCATGGGAGCCAGGATGTCACAGCCTGGGGCCCTGCATTGCCCCAGCCCAGCCTCTCTGTGCCTCTGGGCTGGCACCTCTTCCTCCATAAAGGGCATGAGTTGTCCTCTAGGTCTCTAAAATGGATCACAGGGAGGAAAATAGCCCAGTGTGATGGGGAGCGTGTCCTGGGTGGGAGAGCAGGGCTGAGAGGAGCAGCCCCACTGCAGCTTTGGGCTGTAGCAATGGGGTGAGATGCCCAAGGAGCTATGGTGAGACCAGGCAGAACTAGCATGTGCTCAAGAAGAATCCCTGAGCCCTTTCTGTGATGTGAAACCCAGGCTAAAGGGCGCCTGACATGCAGTGAGGGGGCCCGTGCAAGCCTCAGCCCACCTGTGACGTCCCTACCTGTCCGTGCCCCCCACAACACAAGTGTAACGAGAAGACAGCACCACGTCCAACACACGCACACACACACACACACGCACACACACGCTCACACACCCCACAGACAGCGCAGGGAGGTGCGGCAGAGCCAGGGCGCAGCCGTGCTGGACGAGGGACAGCAAAGCCGGAGGGGTGCCTGGGAGATGCTCGCCTTCCTGCCTGGAGCTGTGCTGGACCACTGGCCACTCGGGAAGCCCTGAATGAAAAAACATCTACCCATGGGTGAAAGGCAGGAGAAGGAGGAGAGGGAGAGCTGCTGCTGGAGGAGGTGGGAAGCAGTGATGGCTGGAGGAGGTCTTTTCAGCAAAGACACCTCTGACACGGGAAGCCCCCAGATTAACGTGCTGATGGAGGCAGGGTGAGGGGAGGTGGGCGTTCGCTTCTGCAGCAGAGGAAGAGGAGTGAGAAAACACCAGTTACAACAGAAAAAAGAAGCCCCACCCCGACACACCCAGGCCAGCCTCTCCCCTGCCCCTTTGACTTGCTTTGAGCCTGTTGTCGGGAGGAGAAGGGATGTGCAAGCCCTTTTGGGGAAGGGCAATGAGGATCCTGTTGGTTGGGATGGTCGTTCCTAGCCCCAGCTCCTGGAGAATTTTCCCATTCCACCTGAACCTCCACACTCCCTACAGGGATGGGACCCTTGGCATCCTGCCCTAAGAGTGGGAAATCCCTTTGGGCAAGACACCCAGGCTGGGATAGTGGAGGTGGCCCATGTTCTTTTGGTCGGAAAGGGTAGCCCAGCACAGGGTGGCAGGCAGACCCATTCCCAGAGCTCTCCTTTTCCCTCTAGTAGGACCAAGCTTGAAAGTGCGGTGACCCATCTGCATGGATGTGGGTGCCTTGGCCAGCTGAGGCAGCAGGCTCCTCCCTTCCAGAGGTAGATGGGCAGGTAGGAATTGCTGCCTTTGGGTGGGCTGTCCAGCCACCACTCGGAGGAGAAGTTGTTTAAGCTGCAGGGGAGGGCAAAGCAGATGGTTGGGGAAGGGCAGGGAGCAAGGGCAAGAGCTCCGCTGCCAGCGGGCACAAGCCAGGGATGTACTGGGGAAGGCATCTCCCCAGCCCACCACCAAGGCTCTCCCTTGTCTGGGGGAGGCATTGGCCAGGGGCCAGGACTCAATTTATGGGATTTTTGTGATGTAAATAGAAATAAATACTTTATAAATATAATCTTAGAGTACTGACACCTGATCTTAGTCTGCTGTCTCTTGCAGAAATAGCAGTTAATTAGGAAATCCTAAACTACCACTTTCCCTTCACCTGGGGGCAATTCCTCCTGCTCTCCCACCTCTGAGCTTTACTGAATTCCCACCTTTGTAGATCAAAGACCAGCTTTTAGCCAAAACTGCCCTCCTCACTCCCTCCCCTCTGATAGGGACCTTTTTGGAGTGTTAGATGGTGTGATATGAAGGTCACGCATGGGAGGACAGGCAGAAGATGGCAGGAGCACAAGGAATCCTGCCCAGGCAGGTTCAGGCTTTTGCAGCTACAAACGGAAGTGAGTTTCCCCTGTGAAGGTGTGAATCGAGACAGATCCTTCCATGGAGCAGAGAGCTGGGGCAGCAGATGGTGTGAGAGATCAGACATTAACATGGGGAGTCTTCAGACAGAATCGGCTATCTTGATCCTGTTGGCAGACGGATGAGGTGGAAGGTGTTTTTCAGGTTAGATTCTCATCTGGGCTGTTCTCCTTCTGGACAGCTTGGATCTGATTTGGAAAACAAGGGACAAAAGGTGTTAGAGATGTGGACAAGGAGAGGTGTGGACTCCCAGGTTTAGTGTCCTGCCTCCAGGCTGATGCTTGAATCCAGATAGAACTGGAGGGACACGGAATTAATGTCTCTTTAGGCAGAGCATGCACATTTCTGTGCATTTACTCCTATTCCCCTAGACCTGCCACTTAAGATGCTCTCAAGAACTCCATGAGATGGTCTTGTTGAGGAATGAATACATTTAGTGCAGGTAGCTCGGTGTGCAGCTGCAGTTCAAGCTGCAGGTTGAGCTCTGGAGTGAGAGGCTGTGAACTGCCGACCCTTTACATAACAAAGGACACAGGGACCTGTGGCCAAGGTGGGTGAGGGATGCTGACACACACAGGAGGAGCTGGGGAACCCAGACTTTCATGCCGTTAGACTGAAAGGGTATAAAAGCCCAGGGTTTCCTTTGTTCGGAGTCCCTCCTTGGAGGCACCCAGCTCCAGCTGCTATTTTGTTATTGCATCATGATTAAATTATTTTAAGGATCGAGATGTCTGAGATTCTGCTATGGGAAACCGGTGACTGAGCCTGTGAGGAAAGCTTGTCTGACTGTGTGAGTGTGGTGAGTGAGAGTGAAGCAAGGCCACTTTCAGCTCACTGGAACCTCCCACTGCGAAGGGGTATCAGTCCCAGCTCAGGTGGTGCAGGTGTGACTTCCAGAGTGGCTCCTGGATGGTCAGATAGGAAGGTTTCCTTAACAGTCTCAGAAACTCTGTGAGACAGTCTCAACAACGGTGACAGGCCAGTATCCCTACCACCAAGGCATGGATGTTGCTTTGAGCTCAGCATAACAGTGCTTCTGTACCAGCTGGGATTTGGCCCTAGACTGAAGCATTTAAATGTGGAGGAGCTGAAAGCAAAATCAATATGTTCCAAGTTTTGCCAGCTGACAGCCCGTCCAGGCACAACTCTGAAAAGGAGATGCTCCCCACACCTGTCTGGGGGCTGCATCAGGGAGAGCACTGGGAGCAGGGTAGGGAACATGCTTGGCTACCTGCAGACCCCAACCAATGGCTTCTCTGCACCCTCCTTCCCCCCCTGCGCCGGGTACCTTATGGATCCAGCCAGGAGAGGGTTGAAGGCGTAGAGCCAGTCGTGCATGTCTTTGTCACTGCTCGCCTGCAGCAGGATGCCCCGGTGCTCCGTGCACACCGCAAACGTGTTCGGGGTCTGCCAAGAGAGACGTGGGGCTGAGTCTCTTGCTCAGGGGGGTGCATGGAGCGGGGCTGGCTCCCAGTGCCCTACCTTGAGCATGGCCTGCTGGTCCTCACTGTACTCCACCTGGGCCTTGGAGAGGTTGAGTATGGCCCTCTCAACTGCATCCTTGTCTGAGTTGTAGATGTAGACGTATGGGCGCCGAACCACCACGAAGCGCTTCACCCACCCATTGGTGTGGGGCTCCAGGAAGTGCAGGTAGCCCTTTTTGGAGACGATGGGGCTGCAGAAGGGACCAAGGTCAGGGTGGGATACAGACCACGAGGAGGTGGCAATGGTAGGGCATGGTACCACCTGCCCATAGGCACTCCCCTCGTTGGCTGCCCCAGTCACTCCTACCTGACTCGGATCTCCTGGATGTCAGGCACCAGCAAACGCTGGGGCTCCTTCTCCTCCTCAGGTCGTCGGGCTGGGGACTTCTTCTGCTCTCCTTCTACCACAGGCTCCAGGTCAGGGCTGTCTGCCCTGGAGGAAACCTGCTGGGGTCTGGGGAAGGAGGAGAGGCTGGAATGTAGGAAGAGTATGTCTGGGAAACATCCATAGGCCAGGACTGTGTCCCAGTGATACAGCTGCCCTGCTTGGCGAATGCCACCAGAACCTCTCCACCAGCTTCTTACCTGACCTCCGTGGCATTGTAACGTCCTTCCACCAGTGATGGGCAGGTCGAGGAGGGGGTGAGAGTGGTGACCCCAAGAGCTGACATGGAGGGGTCTCTCATCAAGGTCACGGACATTTCAGACAGCTGTGGAGGAATGGAGATGTGGACTAGAGTTTCTACATAAAGCCAGGCACAGGCAAAAGACCAGGCTCCTGCTCATATGGGGAGAAGCAAGACCCCTGGCTGGCAAAGTACTCTCCTGGCATAGTCCTTAGAGCCACCAGCTCCGGGAATACCAGGGCAGGCAGAGGGAGCAGAGACTCTGGAACAGGGATGACTTGTGCCATAGTGCCCATCTAGCCCCTGCCCAGCCATTCCCACAGGCACACACCCTTCCTGGCCCCCGCAGGCCCCACAGAGCCCAGGGCAGCAGTATTACCTTGCTCTCACTGGCGCTAATGCAGACATGGCTGTGGCTGTACTCCCTGTTGAAGGTGTGCGTGAGCAGGCGCAAGCACTGCAGAGAGAGGAGAAGGACAGTGGGGCACGAGGCACCTTCCTCCTCCCACTTCTCTTGAGCTTGCTACTGCCACAATCCCCAGCCGCCCAGTGGAAGCCACTTCCTGGCTTCATCCCCGCAAGCTGGGGATGCTGCAGGATAGTACCTTCACAGCCAGCTCCTTCTGCCTCTCGCTGGGGGTTTCAGGGGGTGAGGTGCGGCCCTCAGGGGCCCCGTCGGCAGAGAGCGGGGAGGAGACGCAGGAGGTGCTTCGGGACTCAGAGTCCTCACCGGAGCAGGGGGACAGGGTCTCCAGACCCAGGCGCTGGGTCGTCTCCAGCTTCTCACGCAGTAGCAGGTAGTGCCTTGTCTTCTCCACCTGGGCACAGGCACTCAGGCTCAGGAGTGGCCCCCTTCCCCCTCCCCAGGCCCCCTTAACCCCATCTGCTCGTTAGCTTTGGGTCTGCTGGGACCTGGCTGGTGGCAATGCACAGGAGCTAGTGGCACAGCCCTGCTCCTGCCTCCTCCTTCAACCAGGAGGTCTGTGACATGCAGGGTGGGGAATCTCCCCAGCACCAGTAGGGCAAGGGGCTGCTGAGCTACCAATTGCACAATTTCAGCCTATTTCTAGCTCAGGCTCTTACTTCTTGCAGGAGGCTGAGTTTCTCCAGCTCCCACTGATGGTCAAGGATGAGGCTGTCACTGCGGGGCCGCCAGCCAGCCAGGTTCTCCTCTCCCCGCACATAGGCAACGGAGGTGTCCAGAACGCGCCGTCGCCGTCTCTGCATCCCTGCGGGCACAGACGTACAGCTGGGGGGGGACAGACTCACAGCCTCCAAGCCAAATGCCTGGCTGTGCCTCCCAGACACAGGTGAACACCTGGGCAGAGGCATGGCACCCACCTGGGCTGCCGGCATCGGCCACACGGCAGAGGCTGAGCTCGTAGACTCCGGTCACACGATTGCTGTGAGCAAAGAGAGATGAAGCGTTACTGGCTCTGCCCCATCCCCACACCCCAGTTATTTCCCCCAGCTGCTGGGTGAAAGGAGAGCTCCAGTTCTTGGGTGAGGGTTCTCCTGTCCCCAAAAGGCAGGAGCGTCCCGGTACCTCTCAGACGCCCGCAGGCTGCCGCTGCCAAAAAGATTCCGGATGGAGCGGGAGGCAGGAAGTTTGGCGTCCCGGGAGTAGAAAACCATGCAGAAGTCTTTGGTGATGACGGCAGGCTGAGTACAGTTCTCCATCTGCAGCAGGGCAGGGGGGAGGCATCAGGGGGCTGCCCAGCAAGTCTCTCCCACCCCTGTGCCCAGCAGTTTCCACTCCCAGGGTCCCACAGGGCCCCCAAGGTACAAGTTGAACCCTGCAGTGCATAAGCACTGGCTTAAGAGGAGCTCACGCTGGCTGCACCCCAATGGCAGGGGAAATACCAGACTTTGTCGGTGTATAATGACCCCAGCCAAGGTCCTTGCCTCGATGTAGGCTGACAGGGTGATATAGATCTTCTCCCGGTATGGGGTGACACGGTTGAGCAGCAGCGAGTTGTGCATGGAGCTGTCCCACGCCGCCTCAAACTGGTAGAAAGTCCTGCCAAAAAAACACAGCAGGGCAGGTAAAACAACCCCCCCGCGAACCTCTGGCGAGCGAGCAAGCAAGGAGATGCCATCGTCCCCCCCACAGCGCTGCAGCAGGCCTGCAAGGACAAACAGACATGCATGTGCAGTGGGGACAGGTGGGGACAGCCACTCCAGAGGACACAGGCTCAAAGCAAAAGGGCACAAGGTGTGGTAGGAGGAGGACATGGCACCCTCGAAATGGCCAATGGGGTTTGGGGAGCAGGGACCGTGGGAGGAGGGGGGGCTCAACTGGGGTGCAGGCAAGGCAGAGCAGGTTGGGAAGGCAAAGGAGGGCAAAGGAGGGTTCATGCCCCATCCCCGTGCTCAGAGCAGGGGGCTGCCGTCCCCAGTGCACCCAGGCCAGTCCCCACCCTCCAGCCTGGGGCACATAGCACCCCTCAGCCCCTGCCAGGAACGGCTGCTGCCATTCAGGTGACAATGGCCAGAAGGGAAAGGAGGGAGGATGCTCAGCACTGGGAGGCTGCTGCCAGCCCACCTCTGGGCGTGCACCCCCCCACCAGCCAGGTCCCTTTCCTCAGGGCTGCCCCTGTCTGCCAGCCCTGGGCCCCAGCAAGAAGCTGGGGACCATGATTTGGTGGCTGGCCCTTGTCAGGCTGTCTCCCCTGGCTCTTGGTCTGCCCTCATCGCCAGCCCCATTCTCACCCTGCTGCCTCAGGCCCCTTGCTGTGTCTTCCATGGCTTCCAGGCTGAAAGAAGGAGCAGGGGACACCTGGTCCCACTCATCTATGCCTACAGGGTCCCAGAGAAGACAGCACAGCCACCCAGAGCCAGAGTGACAGCTGCCCTCCTTGGGTGGGCAACCGAGGGTGGGGGAAGCAGGAGGTGGCTCCAGTAAGAGAGCATGGGGGATCCCCGTTTCACCCCATACTGCACTCCAGTGCTCCCTCCCAGGCCAACCTTGGCTTTATGGTACACCCACTCCCCAAAGCCACCCAGAGCTGCCGCAGCCCTGGCTCTTGCCTGAGCATCCTCAGGAAGCCATAGCTCAGCCATGTCTGACTTCAGCATGTCCCCAAAGCAGCATCCAGGTGGCTGAGGAGCAATTTTAACAAGAGCTGGGGCAGCCAGCAGGAGCAGGGAGAGGCTCTTAACTGTAATTTCCCTCGCATTAGAAGAAGAGGGAGAGTGACGCTTTCAGAAGGTGTGTAAAATACATAAAATCCCCTGGCGTGAGACAGAGCCGAGGCAAAGGATTGCTTTGCAGACACAGGTCGCTTGAGAAGAGAGCGCTCCCCAAGGAGGAGGAGGAAAAGAGGAGCCTCAGGGGAGGGGAAAAAGAGCAAAAAGCAAAGGGAAGAGGCAAAGGGGAAAGAGAAAAAAGCAGGAGGAACCAGACCGAGCAGGTGCGCGTGAAATACCTAGTGTCATTTCCCAGCGAAATGCTATAAGTGGAAGGCGACCCAAGGACAAACACACACACATACACACACAGAGAAATGACAGGTCAGAAGAGCCCCTTTTGAAGGGACTCAACCCGTATTAGCACTGCTGGCCGAGGGAGCTCCTGCCTAGCTGGACCCCAAATGGGAACCCAAAAGGAGCTTGGTGAAGGCAGACAGAGGCTTACCCGCCTGGGTGGAGACCCTCAGCCTCCCACTTTCCTCACAGTCCAGCAGCTTGGAAGCAAGCACATATGCTCCCTATCCCCTTAACCACCCTCATACCATCGCAGGGCAAAGAGCTCCCACCCAGCACAATCCCCTGGGACGGTGCCAGTTGGGGGGGAACAGCCATCCTACCACCACCCACACAGCAGATGATTTCTTGGCCCACCCCTTGGTCCACAGGGAGACCATCACTGTGCTGAGAGACCATGGGCAACCTCTCCTGCAGTGAGGGGCCTGGATCTGTGCTGTATTCAGCTGGGAGGGACAGCTGGAGGGACAGCTCTGCCCTTCAACACCTCTGAGCAGGACCAGCTTTGACTTGCTGTAAAGAGGACAACCTCCCAGACACAAAGTTATGGAGCCCACCAGAACTCAGGGCATCCCATCCCTTGTCTCCCAGGCACATCCCCCTCTTCTTCCACCATGGGCATAGTGGTGAGAGGCCCCCTCCTCCGGGCCCTCGGCGATGCTCCCATCCAGAAGCTGGCGGCACATCCCCAGCTCTGGTGCCTCTCACCCACTGCCACTCACCAGGCTCACCCAGCAGTCACAGCTAAAGCCTGCAGTTCTGGAACAGCTGCTGCCCCTTTACACAGGGGTACAACAGTCTGTGCCGTGGTACGGGTGTGCACCCCCACTGCCGTGCCTGTGCACAGACACACACTGCCCGTGTGCCACACCTACACCCACAGGACAACCGTGCACGGGGTGGCAGCTGCTGCCACACCAACTGCCATTGTCACTGAGCGCCTGGGGGAGGACAGGACATGCTCCAAAACTCCCATTGTCCACACCAGCCCTGCAGCTACTCCAAGTGGCACCAGGGGCCGAGCTGGGGCTGGGGAAGGAGACAACGAGGGTCTGGCACACTCGGTGCCATATGCCAGAGAGATGGGAGAGTAGCGAAGTCGAAAAGCAAGAATAAAACCAAAATCAGGCAATGGGGATGCGGGCGTGCGAGGGGGAGCGGCAGCCAGCTAGAGCGTGGCCCAAACAAACAGCAAAAGGGGCCAAGTGAGCGAGAAGTGCCAGGGCAGGAGAGAGGAGGGATGGGGCATGTGGAGGGATGAGGGGCTGGATGTCCAAATGCTGCCTCCGGCGGGAGTGAGCGTGCCGAGGCAAGGGGGTAGAAAGAAAGAAAGGAGAGAAGAAGGGGGAGTGGAAAAAAACCCAATGGAAACAAATAATACCTAGGCATATCCGAATCAAGAAACTGCCTGCAAAAACACAAAACAATCACATGGTTAGTGTGGGCTCGGATGGGCAGCAGCAGCTGAGGGAAGCGAGGGGGGACACCAGGCACTGCCCCCCATGCCTCCTCTCTGGGGCCTCCTCTCTGGGCGCTTGATGCAGGAATGGATGGGTTCTGGGGAGAGAGCTGGACTACTCCCCCAGCCTCCTTCTGAGTGGCTCCAGGGGGCTGGGGAGGCTGCAGAGGGGGAGCTAGAGCTGCTCCAGGCAATGGAGGCTGCGTGGCACAAGGCAGCAAAGCGGGGAGCGCAAGCGGCTGGGAGGAGGGTGAAGTGGGCACTATCCCTGCTTGCTGCCTTCCTTCTGCCTGGCCTCACAGCTGCAGGGCAAAGCATGCGTGTCTGCATGCGGGGTGGAAGCAGGGGGCACTGCAGCTAGTGCCCTGCGGGCAGCTGGCCGTGCCCTCCTCCCTGCCCAACAATGGGCATGGGCTCCATGGGATGGATATGGGATGGATATGGCATGCACGCCAGCCTGTGCCCCCAAATTGGGGCTGACCGTGAGGCACAGACTCTCTGAGCGTGCAGATGCAAAATCCAAGCCCCCTGTCTCCCTGCTCCTCTCCACACCCCAAGCATCCCCTCAGCCCAAGCTGTGTCTCCTTGTCCTGCAGGACCTGCGGGGTGGAAGGCAGAGCAGGAGGCATGTCACTCCTGCCAGGCTACCCTAGACATGCTGAAGATCTCATTTGGCTGCACCTGGGACAAAGTGGCCAGATCAGGAGCTGACAAAACGCAGCGCAGCCCCGAGAGCCCGTGGGTGCCACAGCCACCCAGCTCCCAGCGAAAAAGCCACCATTGCTCCACTGGGCCAGGCCTTCCTCTCCTGACCATCCCTACGTGGCCTCCTTCTGTATCCCCAAGGCTGTGATAAAGACTCCTGGTCCGACACTTGCACACACACTGACCCCATGACTCGGCTTTGCTGCCCAGGTACTCCGTGCGGGTCACTCTGCCATGTCCAGGAACTGCCTGAGAGTGCTCAGGGTAGCACCTCCCATCCAGAGCCCCATCATTCCCCCTCAAAACACCCTGCTTCGGGGCAGGCCTCCTTGAGGCAGTGGTAACCCAAAAAAGAAAAGGGAAAAAGTGGTCCCCATTCCTCACCAGGATGCTCCTACACCAGCAACCACAGTGCACACAGCCAAGGACCAGTCCTGCTGCTCCTGGTGCTGGCAGTGACCATCCTCATTTTGTCACGGCTGCTGCACCCACACATTCTGGCCAGAGACCCCCACCAGTCCCCTGAGTTTCGCCAGTAGCCCTGATGCAGAGGATAGCTGTGCCTTCTGCACCCACTGCTCCCCCTGCCGCCGAAGGACCCAGCCAGGGAGATCTTAAGGCATAAAAATCTTCCAGTCCCGCTGCTTTCACACTCTGTCAAACGTACAGCAGGGACACCTCTAAGCAACATGGTCTAGTGGAAGGTGTCCCTGCTCATAGCGGGGTTTGGAATAAGATGATCTTTAAGGTTCCTTCCAACTCCAACCACTCTGTGGTGCTATGATTCTATGACACAGCCCCCTGGGACAGGCAGGAAGGGGTGGGCATCCCCAGAGTCACCCACACCGATGGGAATAGCTTTCCTGCATCACTTCCACACAGATGGGGACCTGCCATGGTCACCAAGTGGCCTTTCCAGCAAGTTTGCTGGGAAATGGGACAAATAGCCTATGTGGCAGGTCCCCCCCAGCCATAGAGGTGGGACGTCCTCCCATCACTGGCACCAACTGGCTGTGTCAGGCGGTCACAGCTGGTACCAGAGAACAGCACCCCCACACAGATTCCCTGTAGTGCTCTCCCCAGCACATCAAGGCCTTAGGGAGGAGGAGGAAGGGGGCTGGCAGCCCTGAACACCAAGCAACTCCAGAAAAACCCTGTCTCAAGGCAGCAATGGGTCAGCAGGACCCTGCGGAGGGGCCAAGAGCTCTCCAGGGGAGAGAGGGACTGCTACTTGTCCCCCTCCATCCCTCACCACAGCAGGGGAAGAGCAAGAAAGAAAGCATCACGCACCGGTCATCCTGGGAGGGGTGGATGTACCCAGAGGAGAGGATGTTCAGGGACAGGATGTTGGGGTCAATGAGTGACTCGTCTGCTTCTGGGGTGTTCCGAATTCGACCTGCAAACACAGCAAAGGGATGCCTCTCAGATGACAGGCAGTGGCCCTGTGAGGGTCCCCACGATGATAGGGGCAAACCACCTGCCTGCAGCCCCCCCTGTCAGAGACAGCAGCTGCCCAGCACTTGGCCATTCAGCGCTGGAGATCCCGGTCCAGCTCCCGGACCTGGTGGCAGGGGGTGAGGTGTCCTGCCCATGCAGTGTCCTGGTGCCACCCACTAGGCAGCTGCCGCTTTGCTGTTGCAGGGCAGGAGGAGAGATGAGGTGTAAAGCCCCTCATGAGAATGTGGGAACATGGGAACATGAAACAACCCAAGAAGATGACTTGGTGGGGCTGAAGGCTGGCTTGGCTTACCCACAACCAGCTCCCGCACTTCCTTCCAGCGGATGAGGCTGCCTGTTTCATGCACCAAGGTGACAGTGATTCTCCTCTGGATGCCCTGAGACCCACGAGGCCAGAGAGAAGGGACAGTGGTTAACGCAGGTCCCAGCAGGAGTCAGAGCCAGGACAGCATCTTGGGCAGAGAGTACCTGGTGGAGGAGGAAGGTCCCATGGCATGGCATGCCTCCACGATGGTCCACAACAGCAGGGATGTAGCTGGAAGAGAGGATTGTGGCGTGACACAGAGTCCTGCCAGCCTGCCCAGAGGTGCTGAGCACTTGGCAAATCCCATTGCCTCCCTTCCCAGCAGGACTTACTCGCCATTGGCCTCCAGCTCACAAATCTCAAAGAAGACCATCAGGTCGTACTTGCACTGGCAGGGGCCGGCACTGGGCCGAGTCATGGTGCTCAGCTTCGTCGCAGGCACTGCAGTGGGTTGGAAAGACAACTAAGAGGTTGAGCCCACCACTGGCATTTGGAGTGAGGCCCATGATGGCAGGGAAAGGGCAGAGCAGGCAGGGACTGTGGGAACACACGCAGAGGTGGCAACGAGAGCGTCATCCCAGGGAGCTTTGCCAATCACTGGTGTGCCTTCTCCCTTGCCTTGCCCAGCACGGGGCACCGAGGCTGTCAGCATGAGGCCGGCCTCACCCATCCCCAGGATGCACACCAAGCACCTGCAGTCTCGGCATGAACACATCCCAAACCACACAGTGCAGCTCCAGGGACTGTTTGGGGACAACCAGTGGGAGGCTTCCCTGGTGGTGGGGTGGTGACTGCACAGCCAAACCCCTGCAACTGGAGTTTCAGCAGCCAGTGCTGAGGGGACCCCAACACCCCTGTGGGACAGTGGGGCTAGGTGGACATCTGAGCGACCCAGGACAAAGAGCCTCCTCCCTGCCACTCTGCAGGAGGTGAGATGAGGCCTTTGTATCTGCTGAGTATTGCAGAAATTAGTGTCTAGGGCTTTGGGGTGCTCTGGCCCACAGAACATTTTCTGAGTGCCCCTGCAGTCCTAACTGGTCTGTCTGGGGAAGGGAACCCTGCACCCAGCATGAGAAATGTGGGCGGGTACAGGAGTAGGAGGCCAGGTTCCCTACCTGGTTTGGAGAGCGGCATCACACGGGGGAAGTGGCGCCGGGACGGCCTCAGTGGGCTGCAGACAGAACCGGCTTGGTTAAAGCATCCCCAGGGACTCCCAAACCTGGCCAACCCCACCTATGCCTTGGGACTACCCTTTCTTGGGTCCCCAGGCAGCCTGCTGCACCTGGAGCCCCCAGGGCAGCCAGGGGCTGGGGCTGGCCCAGGGGTGCCCACCTCAGGACATCCTTGCAGAGAGGCGGGAAGGGGTGCTGCTGGTAGTGGCCAAACACCTCAAACACAATTGGCTGGCTCTTGATGTATTCGATGAAGGATTTGGTCACCTCCACAGCGATCTAGAAGAGAAAGAGCCACCGCCAGCACAGTTTAGCTGGGAAAGGGGACAGAGCCAGTAACAGCACCCTTGCGAGGGTGCAAACCTGTCTGTCCCCTGCATTCCTCACCCATTCCTCCCCCCATTCAGGGATGTTCTCCCCACCAAGACCACTGCTGTGAAATCCCAGCCTTTTTGGGTGGACAGCAGTGGCTTTTGGTCTCTCCCTCGCACATCCACCATCTAAGGTTGGCTTAGCTGGGTGGCTGTGAAGGGCTGGAAAAGCCAGGAGGAAGATCCAGCCAATGGCCCCACAGAGACCTCAGCAGCTACAGGGGCAAAGGGGTGAAAGGGGAGAGCTACGCACATTTTGGACATGATAGAAGCCCAGTGGTGGTCCTCGTCCCGTGTTCTTCAAGGGTTCTGTCGAAAAGGCCTCATCGTGGCGATGGATGAAGCTGTGGAGGGAAGGAAGGTAGCTTGGGGGCTGTGGGATGGGGACATGCTGGAGCAGGGAAGGGAGTGAAGGCAGGAACCAGAACAAGAGCCCGTTCCCCCTGGGGCTGCTGCCTGCACCCTTAGCTGGCACAGCACTCCCCAAAGCTGATGGGAGTCTTTCCCTGCCTTTTGCCAGCAACTGAACAAGGGCACTGGCACATTCCACAGCCCTTGGCTTTGCCTCCCCATCCACAAAGGGCTCACAGGTGGGGGAGTAGGGCTTCCTGACGTTCACCACCAGCTCCCAGGCGATGGTTGGAGCATGGTGGGAGATGCAGGGCTGGGGGATACTGGGGACTCACTTGAACTGACAGAAGATGTCTGCATATTCTGCAGAGATGCTGGAGGCTTGCAGGACCGTCACACGGAAAGTGAAGATGCTGCCCAGCTTCAGGTGGTCCAGAGCCACCTCCAGCGGCCCGTCTGGCACAGGCTTCTCAGGGCTGTCCAGGAGAAGGTCCTCTGGGGTCACTGCAGGGACAGAGAGGCCCTTAGCAAGGCAGGGTGTCACCCCTTTGGCGTCCGCCAGCAGCCCCACACTGGGGCAGTGGGCTGTTGATGCTGGGGCGGGTGCAAGAGGCTGGGTTCTGGGGCAGGGGACTGCTCCCAGACTGCCTGTCACACCTCCTCACCTGCGCAGGTGTTGTTGTTGACTTCATCAGCAGAGGGGCCCAAGTCACTGACCTGCCCCTGGCCTTCAACAATGCGCAGCTCCTCCTGAGAGGTCCCCGAGCGAGACATCCCCACAGACGGGCACGACTCTGACTGGAACTGTGCCAGAAGTGGGGCTCAGGGATGCTGGTGATCCCTGAGGCGGTCCCGCTTGCACCACTGCTAGCACCCCAAACACCAGGGCACTGCCAGCTCTCCCCTCCCACCTTGTGGCAGCCCCTCTGGGACACGGGCAAGAGTGGGGTGCACAGGTGGGTGCCCAAGGTCTGGGGTCTGCTTGATGGTCCCTTTCCCATGATGCCTGCACCTCTAGAAGCCTGGGGGTCCCTGTAGGGAGCATCGTGGTGGCAGGCAGAGGTCTGGGGTCCCTGGGCACCCACTGAGAGCTGGCCCTGCTGTACCTTCTCAAAGTGCTGATCATCAAAGGAGATCTTGGCTGTCCCCGATTGCCGCACACCAGAGCCATAGTCAGGGGCTTCTTCATCCGCTGGTGGAGGGATGGGAGTGAGCCAGCACAGCGGGTGCAGGGGATACAAGGGGCACATTTTGGGAGCATTCTCTCCTACCTGAGATGGCCTGGACAGCCACGCGCAGGAAGCCCTTCACCTCACCCTTCTCGCTGACGATGGCCACGCGGTGGACCAGGGGCACAGGGTAGAGGAGGTTGCTCAGGTAGACGAAGGCCCTGCCAGAGAAGGGGGGGGAAACACAACAAGGGGGGAGAATGGTCACTGCTCCCACCCGCAGGTCCCCAGGCACGGCTGGCGTGGCCGGCAGCGGCCGGGATCCCAGGTCACCGCTCAGGGCGCGACCGCGGTGCTGCAAAGCAAAACTAAAGAGAAAGCAGCCAGGGCCAGGCGAGGGGGAGGGGGGCAGCGGGCGGGCAGCGTGTCGCGGGCGGGAGGGTGGGCAGGAGGGCGGCACGTGCCGCAGGCAGCACCACAGAGCACACTAGACTTGTGGACCCCTCCAGCTGTCACCTCCGTGGCAGGCAGGACTGGAGGGGGCTGCACTGGTGCCACCATGAAGCTGGAGGGCAAGAGGACCTTCTCTGTGGTGGAGAGCTGGAGGACTTAGGCAGGAGGTGCTGCGATACAACTAGGGGGTGGCTGCGGAGTCACTGTGGGGAGGACAGGGGCAAGGCAGGGGGAAGGGTGGGTGATGAGGGAGATGGAGGCTGTCAGGAGCAAAGGAGGTAAGAGGAGGAGGTTCTGGACAGAGGCCAGAAGTCTTCAGAGATGAACCTGCTGGGGGTTCCTGGCCCTGGCTCTGCCCACAGTGTCACAGGACCACTGGAAGGAAGGCTGCATGGCTTGACTGGCAGCATGGATGGCCTGTGTCCCCCCTTCCCCATCCCTTCACACACATGGCTTCGGGGTCCCGGGCCACCTGCCAGCATGTCACAGGGATGGATGGCATGCCTGGCAGGTCTGAGCCTCCCTGCTGTCCTCTGTGGCATACAGGTCACCAATGCTGCCACGGAGAGGTGCTAGGGTCCAACATGATGGCTGCACCATGTCTGTGCCAGCACCTCCTGCCAGGCCACAGCTCCCTGTTTCTCAAGCGTTTTGGGTCCTCTTGCTGCCTCCCTCCACCTCACTGCCAGCTGTCCAATGGTCCTCTGGCTCTGGCCATGGTGGCATTCCATACCCTGCACAGTGACAAGTCACCTTTGGCGCCGAGCTCCCTGCCAAGAGGTGCAAGCTAGCAGCACCGCTCCCAGCAAGAGGGGGTGTGGGGTGCCCAGCACCTCTCCCTGGGGCACCCACCAGCGTCTTGACACGCAGTGTCGTTGGGTGTTGCGGGGTGGGATGGTGCAGGGGCTGGTCAGGACATCTCTTCTTCAGGAGGCTTCCATGAGAGTTGCAACTCCAGGCGGCTGGCAGCACTGCTCAGGGCATCCCAACCTCACAAGAATCTTCTCAGACATTCAACGGTACCCTAGAGTGCCCAGGGGCTCTTGCAGCCCTACATTTGCACCCCGATCCCAAAGTCCGGAGGTTCCCCCTGTTCTGATGACTCCCATTGACCTCCAACTGCTGCTCGAGGCTTTTTCCATGCAAAGTGTCTCCAAGGTCTCAAGCAGGTGATGACAAATGAATGTCTCCTGATGGGCCCGTCTCACCGCATCTCTTCTCAGATGCTACCAGGGACAGGTGGCTGGACCATGCCAGGGCTTCCTGACGGGACCACATGCTCAGGGAAGCTCTCAGAAGCACAGGGATCTGTGTGCAGCTGCCCACCCAAAATCACAGGGCAGCTGCTGTGAAAGCCAAGGAGTGGAGAGGGCAGGGAAAAGTGGGAAGGAAGTGGGGCAGGCAGGGAGGAGGGGGACAAGTGTTTCACTAGAGGAAGGAGGGCAGGGACACTAACCACAAGATTGGTGAGGTGCAAAGATGGCATGCTCAGACCAAAGAAAAGCCTTTCCAAAGGAAGACAAAAGTGAAATAACCCCAATTTTCGCTAAAGCTTTGAAGAGATAGAGCCAGCAGCTAAAAAAAAGAATAAAAAACCCCTTAAAATAACCAAAATGAAAAAAAAAGAGAAGAAAGAAAAAAAAAGAAAGAAAGGGAAAAAATCAAAGACAAGATCCAATCATAAACCAATCCAAGCACACTTCACAAGAAATGTGGCCGGCAGAGCTGCTGCAGGGGGAGCCAAACCCAGGGCAGACTCAAAAGAAGTTGGAAGGCGCTGAGCTCTGGGGAACATGCCCCCGGCACAGAGTGGGGCCGCTGCCACAGGGCCTTGTTTGGTTTTTTGAAGTGCCCTTGACAGTTTTGGGGTTGTTTTTATATATTTTTTAATAAGGAAAAAAGGAAAAAAGAAAAGAAAAGGGGAAGAACCCAGCTCTTTCGGTCTGAGGCTGCAGGACTCTTACCCCACCTCCACCCTCGCTGCCTGCTCTGGTCCCTCCTCCCCACCACATGGCCTGGCTCTGGCATACCAAGAAAAAGGAGCCCCAGATCAGCCCATTCAGGGAGTCCCAGCCTGGGGCAGAGGCTCTGAGACCAGTTCCTGGCACACACTCCCTTGGGAAAACACCAGAGAGAGCTGGCAGCACCACATCCCATTCTGGGGACGGGCATATGGCTCCAGATTTGGTGGCACAGCCAGCTTTGGGGTAGGAGGTGGGCTTCTCCGGGCCAAGACTGATGGAGCCCAGTGGGGTCTCCCAGCCAACAGGTATGAGAAATCAAAGGTCTTGTCCTTGGCCGGAGCCGAAGAAGAGTTGGAGCCTGCACCCAGGTCCCCACGACCTCCCTGGACATCCCCTCTGCCAAGCTGGCAGGTGTGGCCCCAAGCTCAGCACTGGGTACAAGTGCCAAGAGCAAAGGCCACTTCTGGCACTCCCTCCTGCACCCAGCTCTCTGCTCACCCCCCTCAGCTTCATCCTCTCAACCACCGGGGGACATCCAAGCCTCTGCGTTTGGGGGACTGATGCTGACCAACGCAGCTGGGATGGCCAAGCCAGAGCCAGAGGCACACGGGGTTTTGAACTTGTTCCCAGCAAGTGGCACCACAGGGCCACCCCGAGCTGGGTGGGAGGTGGCCCTCCCTGGGACAGACATACCCGAGATAGAGACCTCCATGTAGCTCCCCCAGCTCCTTCAGGGATGGACATGCAGTAGAGCTCCCCTTCTCAGGGTCTCCCTAAAGTGGGACCTGCCTAAAGACAGGTGCCATCCACCTCGTCTTGCTGTCCCTTGCTACCACTGTGCTCCTCACAGCCCTACCTCAGCGGGCACCTCACCTCACCACCCCGCCAGGCGCCCGGGCGTGGCGGCAATCCCAGCCAGCCACACCCTTCACCTCCAGGACGCCCCGGAGGTGGGAGTCGTGTCCAAAAGCAGTTCCCTCATGCGAAAGAGCTAGGTCCTTCCCGGCATGCTCTCCTAAAACCTCACCAACCTTCCTACTAAACTGAACAGGGGGAAGCGGTCGTAAAATGGATCCCGGCCATCACACAGCGGGCACTCCGGAAAGATGTCTTCCTCCAGGTCCTCCTCCTCCTCCTCCTCCTCCTCCTGCCCCTGGTGCTGCTCGTCAGCAGGCTCGGTGATGTCGGAGTCGGGGTTCGAGAAGGTAGGGGAGGGGGTGAGATCAGCCATGCGCTCGCTCATGCATGTGTTGAAAAGAGGAGAGCTGTTGCAGCCAGAGATATCTGAACTAAGGTTAGTACAACAAGATAGAAGACAAGTTAACACCAGCTGTTCCACACAGAAAGAACAGGAATTTTGCTTTTTTTTTCTCTTGGTTGGGTTTTGGGGCAGGTTTTTTGTCTGCTTAAATCAAGGGACATTGGGAGCAAAGATCTGCCCATCTGGTACATCTCTAAAGCCACAAAGGACCGGAGAAAAAAACAACCCAAGGAACCGGTGTGAACGCTGGGGACTCCCCTCGCTGGCTTTGCAGGAAATGCAGGGATGGAGCGGATAGCACAAGGCTTGTCACCACCCCTCCTGCTGGAGGGAATCTCTCCCTGTGCTGCGGCACGGGGGGATGCCTCCAGGCCATGCAGCTCAGCCCCCTCATCCCCCTGCCCGCCGGGGCAGACCTTTTTTCTGGGGTGGCCCATCTTCATTGCTGGCACTGCACCCTTCCAACCGCTGTGCGGGAAGCACAAGGAGACACATGGCACATACTGTGCAGACAGATGCTCAGACACCAGTGTGTGCGCAGTGACGTGTGCCCACTGGGGTGGAGGTCGCAGCTGGCACGGGCTCTCAGCCTGCTGGACAGCCGCGACCCCTGCAGCCCACCAAGCCCAGAGCCCATGGCTGCCAGCACTGGGTCAGGGCAGGCAGCAGAAGCATTGCCAGCTGCCCGCGGGTCCCTTGGGGTCCCAGCAGCCAACGTGGAGGACGGCAATCGCAGATAAGGCGGGCACCGGGGTGCCATGTGGGGATGAATGCCCTGCACGTGGCGGGCAGCGCTGGCAGCGTGTCCTCCCGCAGGACCACCTGTGGGTCCCAGCCACACTTCAAAGGAGCCAAAGCGCTCACCTGCCGACCAGCCTGAACCAGGGGAAGCGGTCGTAGAAAGGATCTCCACCGGTCACCACATTGTCGCAGTCCTCGATGACACTGGAAGGCACTTCTGCTGCTCGGTCATACATCTCCCGCATCAGGTCCAGGCGCTGCCTGCAGGGAGAGGGGACAGAGATGGCAGCGGTCAGACACAGGGCTGTGGGCACCCAAGCCCTCCTGGCACAGCCATCACTTGCCCACCTCAGCTTCTCCAGGGTCCAGTAGTGTGTTGCCCCATTCTTCTGGTCCTGCACCTCTACAGCCACAATGGTCCGGGGGAACGGCCGCTTCTCCCGGTCCTTGGCAGCATCAGGAGGCAGCAGGTCAGGAGGGAGAGGCGAGTACAGTGTGTCCGTGAGGAGCACAAACTGGAACTGGACCTGGAGAGGGGCAGAGGGCATGGTGAGCCACCTGGGAGGGCAGAGGGTTCCATGTGGTGCCTCTGGCGACTCCCTCCTCAGCGCTTCCCAGCTGCCCATTCTCTTGGCCTCTGCTGTGGGTGCTGCAGCAAGCCAGAGAGGAGCCCAGCCACTCACCTTCTTTTTCAGCTCCACACTGATGGCGTTGGCTTCCTTGAGGAAGATGGCGTTGCCCCAGAGCAGGTCACGGAGGGAGGTGAACTGGTACCACTTCCACTTCCTAAAGGCCCAAAGGGCCAGCTCGAACTCCCGCTCTGTCCATTGCACTGCGGGGACACAGAGGGACAGTCACCCCACTGCCAGGACATCGGCGTCCAGGGCACCCACAGTCCACTCTTCGTGCTCCCACAGAGAGCATCAAAACCTTGTGGTGTCACGTAGCCCTCACCCTCATCCTCAGGTTCTTCCTCTTCCTCGTTCGCCTCAGGGTAATACCTAGAGTCCATCTGCTTCTGTAAAGCCTCCAGTTTGCTCTCATAGTCCTGGGGGAAGCAGGAGGAGGGGTGATGCAACCCACCGTTGTGACCTCACTCCATGCTGCCACATCACACTACTCCCCCTTGCAGGATCCCCGCCTCCTCCCTCCTCTGGATCTGTGTTTGTGAGGACAACTCCAGGAATAACAGGTTTGCCCTTGTATTTAGAACACAGAGCTACCCCATGCAAACATCTGCCAGGACTTCAGTCATGCCTGTGCAGTCTCAGAAGGAGTTAGGTCCTGGGCACCTACCAGCCTCTGCTGCTCCAGAAGGTAGTTTGCCTCTTCCCGCTCCCTCCGGTACTGGTCCTCCAGCTCCTGGAGCCTAGGTGGAAATGGGGAAGGAGAGGATGACCAACCTGGAGGTGGACACCCAACTCCCTAGCACCTCAGCCCATGCTCTTACCGCTGCTCCATCTCCTGTTTCATGTCGATGCCCTGCTTCTCCAGCAGCTCTCTCTGGGCAAACGCCCAGTCCACGGGCTCTGCGGGGGTCTCAGCACACGGGGTCCGCTCCCGCTCCTGCCGAGCCTGCTCGGGGTGGTTGAAGCGGAAGACGTGGCTCTTCCCCATGATGATGCGGTTTCCTGCAGGGACGCATGTGTCGTGGGAGAAAGGTGTGGGTTTAACGTGGGACAAGTGCGTGGCCCCCCGTGGGAGGGAGGGAGGTGGGTTGGAGCAGCACTAGCGTGCCAGCCCCAGGGACCCACCTGAGCGCAGGACGCTGGGCTCCGTCACCTTTTTGCCGTTCACATAGGTGTCAGCACCTTCACAGGGCTCCAGGGTCACTATCACTGAGGAGGTGGTGAAAGGGGAGAGGGGAGGTAAAGTGGAAACAGAGGATAAATCCTGCATCTCCAGCTCTGCTGCTCTGGTAGCCTTGGAAAGTGAGAGCCACCACAGACAGCACTCCAAGTGTGGGGGGACACTTAGGGGACCCATCAGCAGCACCCACACCTTAGGCAGCCAACAGGACTCAGCCAACCTGATGTTAATCAGAGCAGTCCCAAGGACTAAGGGCAGCTGGAAACTAAATGTGAGAGGCGGTCAGAGCCTCCAGAAGGCAACTCCATCTCCCCAGGCCCATCTCCCACAGCCCCTTCACCCCTAGGTTCCTGCCATTTTGGAAGGTGGACTCTGCTCCACATCTTGGGCAGGGGAATCATCTACAGACTGCTCAGCCAGGATCTCCCCGATCTCCCTGCCTTGCTTTGCTCCCACATGCCTTGCACAAGCTCCTGTCCCAGCCATGAGGGTTGTAGCTCACTCTGGAAGCACGGAGATGCCACACCCATGCAGGAAAGCCCCACTAGTTTGAGGAGGGCAGGACCCCTGGCTGGGGGCAAGTGCTGAGGACATGCAGAGGGGTGGGTCCCCGTGGCAGTGGGGCCCCTCCAGACAAGCAATACCTTCACCACTTGTTTTGGTGTCGCTGCGGAACAGGCAGTGCTCTTCTTTAATGAAGTGCCCGCTGAGAACGATGTCCTGCCTCTTCTCAGCATCTTCTCGGCCAACCCTGTGGGGGTAACCCAGCTCAATTCTTCCTCAAAACAGCCCCTCCTGAGTCTCCCCTCAAATCCATCCCTGGGGCTGACAGGAGCAACCCTTGGTGCACAGCAGGACCAACATCCCACACGAGATTCCCAGGCAAATACATGTGGCCATGGCACTTTGGGGATGCCCTGGGAACAGTGCCTGGAGACAGCTGTCACTCTGCCGACCAACTGGGGAAGCTGAGATACGGACAAGGCTCCCACCACTCCACAGAACCTGACCTCACCTTGTTATCCCATCCTTGATGTAGTAGAGAAGACATTCGGACATGAGCGGATCCTCATTCAGGTTGACCAAGTGTGGTGTCTGGGAGAGATGAACAAGGAGTCATCCCAGTGCACCCTGTCTACCCAGGCACTGAGGGATGCTCCTGAAAGAGGTGGGAGCTCGGTAGCACTGCAGACTGCCACTGCACAGGCTCCCTTGCCCTCTTGTAGCTCCAGGATAACCTGCCCAGACAGGTACTTTTCCAGGGGACTGCAGAGAACCAAGCAGTGGGATGAAGATGCCCTGCTTCCACATGCCTCCTTGCTTTTCTCCTCCCAGGACTGAGCCCTGGGCATGCTTCCCCCGGCCACCTTTGAAAATTCATGTTCCAAACAGGCCCAACACAGAGCCAAACAATTCCCATGGGGAGTCCCTGCTACAGCTCAGAGTCTCCTGGGGCAGGACCCTTCTTACCTGTGCTGCGTATTATAGAACCATAGAATGGTTTGGGTTGGAAGGGACCTTAAAGCTCATCTCATTCCATCCCCCTACCATAGGCAGGGACACCTTCCACTGTCCCAGCTTTCTCCAAGCCCCGTCCAATCTGGCCTTGGACACTTCCAGGGATGGGGCAGCCACAGCTTCCCTGGGCAATCCGTGCCAGGGCCTCACCACTCTCACAGGGAATATCCAATCTAACCCTGCCCTCTGTCAGGTCAATAAAGAAGTGCCCATTTTCCTCCACTGATAGTACAAGGGCAGAGGAAGCACCTGAAAGAGCAGGTCTCAGAGGTTCAGCCAAAAGCAGTGGAGAACCTGAAGCCATATCTGCAGCCTGAATTTCACTCCCTGGTCTTCTTCCAAACAGTTCCCTCCCATCCCTTTCCTTCCCTGGATCACAAAACACTTTGTTCTTGACAAGAAGGAAATTTCTCCCCCAGCCACAGACCTCTCTGCCCGCAGCCAGCTTAGCTGCTGGGATTGCACCTTCAGGGAACAGGGAAAGTCCCAGGAGTATGTGAGTGAAGTTCTGAGTTTCCCAGACAGAAGAATAGTGACTGTAAGGAACACTGCATCAGCCTGCTGAGACCCAGCATGCAGAGGGGTCCCCTCAACACAGTGCCACGAGCTCTGGCTGACAGCAGAGACTCACTCCAAACTGGGCAGCAGAGCTGGAGGTCAAGGGAAAGGTGGGCTCTTCTCTGTGGTGGCTGGCAGAAGTTGGCTGTAACATTTAATGTCTGGCCCCTCTGGACAGACACGTGGTCCTGGGGGCTGAGGCTCCTTCACTTGCAGTTTTTGTCCAGATTTGCAAAGCTGGTGACCTGCTGAGCTCCTGGAGCTATGACCAGCCTGGCCATGGCACAAAGTGGAACAGCATAGTTCTGTCCTGCAATGCCCATAACAAAATGGGGTTTGCACACTATCAACACCAACTTTCCTTGCCAGTCACTGGAGAATTCAGAAGAGTTTCCACCCACCAGATAGCTGAAGAGCAAGGAGACACCAACACCACCACAGCAATGCCCCACCTCCAAGACTAACCTGCTTGGGGGAATAAACCCCTACGCTTCCTACCCAAAGGTCAGGGGTCCTAACAGGCAGTGGCTGGGACAAGAAACAAAGACAACAGTGTACAAATTTATCCTAAAAGTCAAGCTGGGGGGAAGGTCCCGACGTCCTTATCACCACCTCAGCTCGAGACACACAAGAGGTTTGGCCAAGCCAAATGCTACAAGCAATGAAGAGACAGAATATTTTCCCACCCACATTTCTTAGCGAGGACTTGCTGGTTTCAGGTTCAGGGGCAGCAGTTTTAAATATCCCAAAGTACAGATTTTCACAAGCTGACACTGAAGTCCAACACAGCAATCATAAGCAAATGCCTCCATGAAAGGGGACAGCATCCCAGCAATGGGGGCTGGACATTTAGCCACATATTTCTACCCATGTTTGTACCCAGCAGGCTCAATGCTGGGATTTCCCCCATAAGTTTCAGAGCCAAGAAACAGCTAGTGAAATATGTGGGGCTGACCAGCTGTGATGGCACGGGCCAGAAGGGAGCTGCAGGGGTACAAACCAGTCCCCAGGAAGAAGAGAATAGAATGATCCTACCTTTTTAGGAGAGAAAACACCCAAGGTGCCTCCATCCTCCCTCATGGCCACCCCCATTTCGGCCAGCAACGCTTCCCTGAAGGAGCAAGGGAAAGAAGAGCCTGTCAAAGCCCCATGCGCCCCTGGAGCCAGCACTAGGATGCAACCTGATCCCATGGATTTGTCCCATGGATCACAGACATAGGGCTTGCTTCAGCTCAATTCATAATTCTGGTGGGTTTCTCAGAGCAGCCCACCTCTGTGCAGGCTAACGAGGTGGGCACTGGGGTGCCCCAGTGACAGACGAGGGTATGGCTGGACATTCAAACTGCCTGGCTGCCCCAGGAACTGAACTGCTGGAGCAAAGTGCATCCCATCCCATCCCACCCTGTCCCATACCATCCTAACCCACCCACCTCTCCATCCGGATTGCTTCTGTCCTCCGCAGCTTCTCCTCCCACGTCTCATTCAGCTCCGCAATGATCTTCTCTGTTTCCTGGCAAACGTGGGTTGAGCAGGGGGTTAGTGTATCCCATGGGCAGCACACCTGCCCGCTCTGCCCAGTTCTGCCCAGCATGCTGCAGTGGGACACTGGTCCCAGTTTCAGGCTGGCTTATACAAGATGCAGCAGCATTTCACCCACATCTTTCCATCAGCCCCGTCTTCCAAGAGTGAGGCACAAAGACCAGCCTCTCCACCCTCTTGCTGCCAGCCTGTTCCTGCACCTTGCTGAGCCGAAAGCACTCATCCCGAGCCAGGAGTGCCCATCCCAAGCTGGGAGCACCCATCCCACAGGACAAAGGTAGTCATCACCCTGCAGGAAGGATGGCAGCACCTACAATAGACCTACAATACCAAACCCCCTGCCACCTGGCAGTTTGGGCAAACCCCGGGTCTGTCTGCTCTGCAAGAGGACATATGAGCATTGCTTCCCAGAAGCATCATCCATCATGAGTTTCCAGAAAATACTGAGCCCCCTCTGCAAGCCACAGCGCATTGAGCTGAGCTCTTTGTCCTGCAGGGGACTGGCCTCTTACCTTGAGTCTTTCAATTGCCTCTTCGCTGCCCGGAGCAAACATGATGCGCTCGTGGAGGCTGGCAACAGAGGCAGCACGGCTGGATAAGGCGGACAGGGAGGAAGAGGGGCTGATCCCAGCAATGGCATTGGTCACTGTGGAGAGATTGTCATGGCGGTGACTCAGCTCTGCCCCTCTAGCATCATTATTGTTCTCAAAGTCGGACAAATCTATGGGCGGGGAGGGATGGGCCAGGAAAAGACACACGGAAAGGAAGAGAGAGAAAGAGAAAGATAGAGACAAGAAAAGCTGTTGGGAAAAAAAAAAAGAGTGGCCAGTGTGCCGAGAAGAAAGCCGGGAATTACAAGGAAAAGGCACAGGCAGCAGCACAGCACCACAGACAGCACCAGGGCAAGGGCACATGCTCTCTCCCCTCAGGACACAGGGCAGTTTTGTGAAGCAGCTGCTGGAAGCAGCCTTCCCAGGATCCCAGGGACGCTTTTTTGCAACACCAGATCCTGCAGCAATCAGGTTTGACATCAAATGTCCTCCCTGAGTGTGCACCACTGCCCCTGTCATCCTCCCCACCTGATACAGCCTGGGTGGTTTTCTCTACCCAGATGCCCTAGATTAGCTGGATCCGGGGGCAGAGAATGAGAAGGGAAGGTGATGAGAGGCGGTGGCCCTCCGCCCTACTAAGGGGCAGGTGGACAGGGCAGGAGAAGTGTCAGGATTCCCTCACAGGATCTGCTCACAGGAAGCCCTTGGCCTGCTGGAGCAGCACCTTGGCCAGGCAGCCAGAGAGTGAAGCCAGGGCTACAGGCAGCGGTGCTTGCTGGCCAGCACCCCAGGAGTGACCTGCAGCAGCTTAGGACCCAGCTATCAGAGATGCTCCTCCAGCTCCCAGGAAGTCGCAGGGTCTCAGCACGCTGTGCCGGAGATGGGCAGGGTGCAGCATTAATCACCCATCTCCATCAGCCCACATCCAGGGATGCTGAGCCAGGAGGGGATAGCCAGGCCCTTGTCTCCTCAGCAGGCTTGCCGTAGCCTGGCTGCACTGCTTGACTCGGGGTGAGATGGAGCCATAGTGCTTATCCATGGGCAAAATCCTCCTGGCCATCACCACCCACCCCTTCATCAGGAGAGCATCATGCCGTCCCACCCAAGTGCCGTGCCAGGCTCCAGTCCCAGTGAGACACAGCACCAGCAGAAGCAGCAGCAGCAGCAATCAGAGGAAACATCATGACAGCATGGAGGAAGGGATCCCTGTGGGGATTGAGCCCTTGGCATGGCTGAGTGGGAGGACATTGGTCCCTCAAGCACTATCCCAAGCCCAGGTGCTAACCACGACTCTGCCACTATCCTTTCTGCCAACTCCCTGGGGATGGCCAGCCTGTGGGCACGGGCTGCTCCATTAGCAGGGGCTGGCTGTGGGAGCCCCTCCCCATGCTGCACGAGTGCCCCTGGGCACAGCCTATGCCTCCCAAAAGCCATGAAGCAACAGAGAGTACCAGTGATGGGGAATACACACATTTGGTTCCTCCTGCAGCAGGATGGGCTAAGAGAGAAAGAGAGGGCAGGGAGCGGGGGTGAGACAGAAAGAACAGAACAAGAGGGGGTTCATCTCAGTTGGATATCTGACAGCACAGGGAGGAGAACCCATGGGTGTGTGCAGCCCCAGGAACACCTTCCTGGCACCTCTGCTGGGTGCTGAATACTGAAGAAAGTAGGTGGAGGGGAAGAAGGGAAGGTTTACTGGGTGGAAAGCAGCTCCTCCTGTGACAGGAGGGGATTGGGGGCTGCAAACACACGCGCAGGGGCTCGCCACAGGCAGCACGACGCCACCACGGCAGGATGGAGCAGGATGCGGGGCAGATGTGGGGACATTGGCCCTGCAGGCTGGGGGGACCTCAGCCCATCGCTGCAGGGAGCCAGTGGCAGAGAGCACCCGTGGTACCTACTGTCAATGATGTCCCCAAGACCCTGGGCATAGAGAAGGTCACGTAGACGTGCCACCTCGTCCTTCAGCTCCCGGATGAGCTTGTTGTTGGGGTCCTCATTGATGACAGCGTTGCAGCGGATCTGCTTGGCGCGGTCGGCATACCTAGGGAAGGCAGGGTCTTGAGCAATGGCGAGGAGAGGAGTAAAACTCCAGCTCCTTGTCAAGTGGGAGTGCCACAGAGCCCCTCCAGCAAGTGATCCTTTGGAGGATCCCAGTGCTGGGACAATCGTTTGCATCTTGTCTGGGGTTGCAGGTTCCCCCCACAGCTCACCCTCAGCCAGGGATACCACAAAGGTGAGGAGAGCATGTGGCAGTGTCTGGGCCTCAGAGACTCCCCTGCTCTTGCTCAATGCAGTGGGAACAAGGGCACTTCTTCCTACCTGAGGGTGCTGAGGGTCTCATCGTAGTTGATGTCAGCAGGACTGAGAGCAGCGACCATGGCAGTCCTGGAGTTGCCCCCTGCCCAGAGAGACACACCCACATCAGGGAGACGCTGGTCCCTGTGCCAGCTGTCACTCTCTGCTCAGCACCCACGCCCACCACCAGACCGTACCCCCCACCTGTCCTCACCCAGGTTCTCCCGCAGCAGCCAGGTCAGCACCGAGTCCCGGTAAGGGATGAAATCCGTCTTTTTCTTCTTTTTGTTCTAGGGGGTGGAGAGCAAAGGGAAGGGCTGTCAGGCTGCCTGCTCTCTTCAAAGAGGTGACAGCTGGTCCCCAGCCATGGGGACTTGGAGGATGATGGCTCTGCCTGGCCACTGCAACCTTGAGCATCTTTGCTCAGGTCCACAGGTCCTGTCCATGAAATGCCCTGGGCTGGGGGGGATGTTTAAGGCTGGGTACTGAAAGCCACAGGGTGAGGAGGTTGAGGAGGATGCTGAAGGCTCTCCCAGCCCCTGGGAGAAGCATGGCTTGTGTCCAGACACAGACTCATCCCCAAACCACCCTGCAAACCACTTCCACCCAACTGTGCCAGGGTACCTACCTTGTTTGGCCCCGAATCCTGCAAAGGAAATGGAGAGACTGTTTAAGGGAACTGCTTCCCTACTCGGTGCCCACCACAGCTCCCCTGCCCCCCAAGTAGAGAGCAGCAGGCACAGGTCCCAGTGGAGATGGCAGTCTCACCAGCCCACCTTGTTCCAGCCCCAGGGACCGCTTGGGAGGTATCTGCCCATCCCTCAGAGGTGAGATGATCCATCCCTTGGAGCTGAGTCCATCCCTGCTGGGCCAAGCCCATTCCCCTCCAGTGCCGCTGCTTCCCTGTGCTCTGGCTACCTACCATTTCAGCCAGGGCAGAGATGACTTTCCCCAGAGTGGTCAAGGACTTGTTGATGTTTGCTCCTTCCTGGAGAGGAGAGGAAAAGCCCAGATGCTCAGGCCCCATTTCAGAGCCACATTAAACCCCAGAAGAATGGGGAATTCCCAGTATGGGGTGGGCAAAGAGCAGCTGGTTTTACTGGATAACCAGCACCTCCCAGCTGAGACTCATGGACCATGATGAAACTGGCATTAGGCAGCTTTCCAACACAACCCTATCAAGGATTTTGGCAGCACAGTGGGCAAGGAACCAGCGGGCAAGGAAAGGAGATGTCTCGGCTGGGGACGAGGGGGCAGGACGTGGTGTCCCCACCGGCAGAAGTGGACTTCACATCAGCTCTCACCTTTAGCCTTGTGCCCTTGGCGCCTGTGGAGTCGGCTCGCTCGCTCCCAGCCAGGTCCACCAAGCTGATTTTGCTGACCTGGAGGCAGAAGGGAGGCTGTCAGCCCTGTGGGCACAGCAAACCTTGCCTGGCACGAAGCCAAGACCTTTTGCAGGGTAACACTCCTCTGAGGGCAGCAGTGGGCTCTGCGGGGTCATCCCTGCAGGATTTGTCCAGAAGCAGGGCTAATATCCTTGCAGGTAGGGCTGGAGGGCATCAGCTGCCAAATATCCTGTCCAGGAGCTGGTACCACAAGGGACCATGAGCCCAGCATGCACCTGGGACTTATCTCCCTCCTGTTCCAATCCTGCATCAGGCTGCACCACCTCATTCCAAGTGCTGATGACAGCACACAAAGCCCTTCCTGGGTCTGTGTGGGTTTCCCCAAGTGCTCCAGGCTCTGCTCTCACCTTCTCAGTGGTGATGTCTGTCTCAGCATCATGTCGCTTCTGCGTGAAGATGATGTTGAACACGGCGTGGGAGCGGCTGCTGGTCTCATTCATGTTGGTAGCAGCCACTGTGCTGCAGGGACAGGAGCACAGGGAGGTGTGACACCCTGTGGGGGACACTTAAATGGCTGTTGATGGGGCTAGGGCTCATGCCAGGACAGGGTACGTGGTGGGAAGGCAAATCTGAAGGACAAGAGAGGACTCTGGGAGGAGACATGCACAAGTCTAGCCCTTCTCCTGCTGGCTCCAGTGAGTTTTTAGAGCAGGAAGGAGGTAAGGTGAAAGGAAGAGGAGGGTACCCAATGCTCAGAGAGAAGGGGACTGCCATCTCCAGAGCAGATGGACTGGCAAAGCAAGGAACTGAAGCAGGACCTTCTAGAAGTGTCTGCAAGCCCTCCAAATCCTGTCCATCTCCTCCTTCCCCAACTCACCGGGCCTTGTTTCCAGAGTCCATGAGGTCCTGGATGTCATTGTAGGAGGTCACAGCCAGCTTGGAAAGGTCTTCAACATACGGGCCCATAAGGGGATGCTCCCTCACCCGCAGGTTCCCCTTGTTCTTGGGGTTCAGGAGGTCCCTCACACGCTCGCAGTAAATCTCCATGTAGCTCACCTAGAGCAGAAGGCACGGGCAGGGTTAGCAGAATGAGGTCCTGCCTGCCCACCCCACACCCAGGGGCACTCCCAAAGAGGGGTCTGCACACCAGCACAGTTTCCAGAGATTGGTGGGAGGCTGGAAGCGGACTAGAGAGGCAGTGGGGTGCCTACCTCCACAGAGTAGGACATGTTGTCATTCGTCGTGTCATTGATGCGGGAGAAGAGGTCCTCGCACAGCTGCGGAGAGAAGAGCCAGGCTCAGTCCCCCGCCAGCAGGATGCTCCTGCCTGGGGTGTCCAGGCCACAGGGATTTCTACCTTCTCACCCCAAAAAATAGAGCCTAAGAGTGGTGGCATGGCTCCCAGGGAGCTGTCAGAGCCCCCCGTGCTGATCAGCATCCCCAGAGGCCCTCCGTGTCCTGCTGGGCCAGCACGTGGCAGCTCTCGGTAAGCAGCTCAGCACTCTGACTCCTGCTGCTCCTGAACACCGGTCTTGTGTGGCCAGACCATAGTCCATCCAGTCTCGGGAGAGTCTGGATGACTCTCCTTGGCCCCCCACTCTCCAGTGGAGCCATGCCAGCTTGCTGTCGTGGCAGTGCTGTATTAGACCTTGGCAAAACCTGGCCCCACTCCCACCCCGCTGCCCTCTTCCCTCCCAGCTCTGCTTTTCCTTTGAGCATGCCTCTGGGACCAGGGGGACAGGGAGCTTTCCCCAGGCACACCTGTGGGATGATGCCTTGCTGGTCCTTCTCCTGCTTCCCCATCATGGTGTAGGATTTTCCAGCTCCCGTCTGTCCGTAGGCAAAGATACACACATTGTAGCCTTCAAAGGCATGTTGCAGCATCTCCTCACCAATGTCCCGGTACACTTGCTTCTGGGATGCATAGTTGATGTCTGCAGGCTGCAGAGAATAGAGATATACAATGAAATTTGGCAGGGAGGCCCTCCTGCCTCTCCCCAGCCCAGTGCTCCAGGTAGGCTCAGACCTCCCAGTGCTTACCGTAGTGTGGGACCAGTAGGAATAGTCAAAGCTGAAGCTTTTTGGTGTCTCTTTAGGCTGCTTCGGGTTCAGGATAGCTGGGGACAAACAGATGGGAACATGAGGCCTCCAGCCACCCGTGGTACCCCTGCCTCCCACACCCCCTGCGGGAGGGGTCAGGGGTGATGGGGTTCAGTCCAAAACAGTCCTGGAAAGCGGACCGGGACCCTTCCAGCTCTGCAGATGGGTCTAGAGCCCCCAGACCCCAACACTGAAAACAGAGGAGGTGGATGCCATGGCCAGCAGAGCCCAAGGGAACAAGGCAGATCCTTGCCCAAACATCCTGCTGGACACGGTGAGGGGGACATGGCTCCTTCCCTCAGGTTTCTTGCTGTTGTGGCCCCTGCCCATGGGAGCCCAGCACTGGCATAAAAGGGTCACAGCCTTCCTTACCCCACAGCTGCGGGGTCGTGCCCAAAGCCCCCATGCTGGCATTGTCAGGTGGGAGCAGCTGCAACCCCACTGGGGCTCCCCTAGGCCCCCCCCAGCTCCTGCTTCTCCAGGTCCCCAGCCCCAGCAGGGTGATTAATGCCTCGTGTCACACCACCAGCAGAAACAAGAGCCTGCTTTTCTCATCCCCTGATGAAAAGGACGTTGCCATGGAAATTGGAGCCTGCATCACTGCTCTTCCTTGCTCGATGCTTTTTTTTCTCCTGTAGAGCATTTTCAGTGGTTTTTTTCTGAAACAACAGATGCGTCAGAAGAAACCCAAACCAGTGGGTAATCATGAGATCCAGCCACCAGCCATGTTAGGTGACATTGAGGTGACCTTGCAGGCCTGCACAGCACAGTTCCCATGCCCACAGCCTCCAGCTGCTTCCTGCCACCACTGAGGACGAGGAGCCCATAAGCCCTGAGGCCAACAGACCTCCCTCCATACCAAACTGCTCTGCCCTGTCCTGCCAGCATTCAGCCAGGGCTCACACCCACTCCAGGTTCCAGGTGGGACCTTCCTGAGCAGCCCCAGGCACGGTGCAGCCCACTACAGTGGTGTCAGATACCCAGGTGCATGGTGTTATGGATATGAATGCTTTCTGCTCCAAATTCATCCTCCACTGCCACAATGGATGCTCTCTTGGTAAGGGTCTGCCACTTCTGGCCTGAGATAAGCCCAGCCCTGCACACAACAGCAGCGAGACAGGCAGGGAGAGGGTGGGAAGTGGGGTCAGGATCCAGCCCTGACATGAAACCACAGCATAGTGCTGCTCAGATGCTACTCACCGTGGACAAAAGCCCAGCTCTCACACCAAAGAGGGGCAGCCACAGGCTCCCTGCCTGCCTACCCACTGCAGGCAGCCTGACTCAGATGCTCTGGATGCCTGCTGCATCCTGGGCAAACTAATTACCAGGAGAAAGGGCTGGGAAGAGACAACTGGCAATCCTGCAGCTGCAAATGGGGATGTGGAGGTCCCCGGAAGAGCAGGTCTTTGTGGGCAGTGTGGGCAGCCACAGGGGCTGCCCATCCCTGACCCCTGCCAATGCCGGGTTGTTGTGCTGGGGGCGTTGTGAAGAGAAACAGGTGTAGAGGCCATGCAAGAAGTAGGATGGAGCATCTCTGATGGGTCCTGGCATTCAACCTGGCAGCTCTGCCATGCCACCTCTGCTCCGCTGGAGTCTGCCTCTGCCCTGCAGGGGTGACACTCACCACAGTGAACAGGAGCAAAAATGAGTCCTGGAGTAGGCAGGATGGGAACACAGTGGCTGTTCTGGAACCCATGCTGGGCACGGGGCAGAGGAGCAGCTGAGGATGGCACTAAGCGGCTCCAGGCATCCCAGCTGCAACTGCCCAGCTGGCACAGGAAACCAGAGACTGGGATGGACACAGGGAGAAGGGAGAACTCTGAGAGCAGGGAGAGCTGAAATGTTCTCCCCATGCCCCTGTCATTCCCATTTATTTGCCTGCAGGCAGATGGATGCTGCTGGTGGAATTTTTCCTCTCCGGGCATCCAGGGCTTCGCAAAAGATTTATGCTCTGGGCAAATGAGATTAAAAAGGCAAGGAGGGGTGTGGGGTGAATACAGAAATACAGACAAGGGGGCAGGAGGGAAGAAAACTTCTGGAGATGTCTCTTGCATTACCCTGAGGAGCCAGCAGAGTGGCAGAGCGCAGCAAGTGGGCAGGCACTGAGAAAGAGAGAACTCAGAACCCACAGCAGAGAAAATAATCAGATTTTAAAGCCAGCAGAGGCATGGCTCCAGCCAGAGAATATTACTGGCCTTGTGGGATCAAAGCCAGGAGTCCTGTCCTTACCATCTTGGGGGGAGTTGCCAGGACAGGGGCCAGGAATGTTGGTGCCCAAGATGGACCCTACAGAGTGGGGGACACCACAGGAACAAAGTAGCAGTGTTGGAGGGCAGGTGGGTGGTTGTGGCAGCTGGAAGTTTGCAGGCAAAAGGACAGCAGAAAAAGGCTGACCCCTTCCCACCCTGGTCCCTGGCCCCTGCTGTCCCCTACAGGGTTCAGTGCATTAGACAGGAGAAGTACCTGTCCCCTGCTCCCAGCACATGCAGGGGTCAAAGCAAATAATCCTGTGAAGGGGAAAACTTGCTCTCACTCCCCACAGACATATTTATTTTTGGCTTCTCTGTAAGGAGCTGGGGGCTGAGACAGTCCTGTTCCACTGGCACTACTGGCATCCTTCTGCCTCCCCCAGCCACAGGAGAAGCAGGCCTCCGAGCCTCCCACGCCTGCTCCCCAGTCCCCTGGCCAAGGGGAATAGCCAGCGGTTTGTCCATTCATGGAGAAAATCCTTGCTGTCAGCAAAAGGCTCCTGCTCCCAGCCCTGCTGCCCTCCCTGGCTCAGGCAGGGGCAGGGGGTGGGGGGCCAGGGGCACAGCCAGGGGGTGCAGGATGAGCAGGGGTGGATGGCTCTGAGCAAACATGGCCATGGTGGTGGGGCTGCCTGATGCTCTTGACCGGGCCTGGGGCATGGCAGGTCACCCCCCTCCACATCAGAACCAGAACAAGGCACATCTACCCTGTCTATGCCCTGGCTCTGGGCAGGTGGGAAGCTCCTGTGGGGCCAGGAGGCTTCCTTACCGTGAGGGCAGAAGTTCTGCACCCCGGGCAGACAGAGAACCCCTGCCCAACCAGGAAGGGAGAACCCCCACAGGATGCCAGAGTCCAGCATACACTGCCCCACAGACCCACTCATTCCTGTTCCCAAGGCCTGGGGTGAGCGGAGGGCCCAGTGGGGTCCCAGAGTCTCCCTGCACCCTTGAGTGCCCTCTCTCCCCACCCCTGGGGTTGCCATGGCAGCCTGTCAGCGCACCGCGGGGGTGGTTGGCGCCGGTGTTTCACCCACCCTTGGTGACGCAGGCAGCCCCAGGCGGGCAGGCGGGGAGTTATTTTAGACGCTGTCCCATCTGGAGGCTTCCAGAGCCAAAGAGGAGGGATTCGGCTGCCATTCCCAACAGCCAGAGGCTGTTACTTAAAGAGCAGCAAAGGCCGGACAGGCTCCTTGACAGGACAGACAGCCCCAAGGCCCCCTGCTACATCCCCCACCCCGAACACACCATTCCCTTGGCAAACCCCACTCCTGCCCCTCCATTCTGCTGCGGTTGCAGCTCCAAGAGCCCCACAGAGGCAGGGATGGGTCCAGGCATGCCGCAGTGTGTGGTACCTGGCCCGGCAGTGCTGTCAGAAGCTGCTCACAGACCCATGCATGGCTTCAAGGCCAGGTTGGATGTGGCTCTGAACAACCAAGTCTAGTGGAAGGTGTCCCTTCCCGTGGCAGGAGGTTGGAATGAGATGGTTGCTAAGGTCCCTTCCAAGCCAAATCACACTGTGATTTCTTTGATTTCTCCCTCATCACCTACCAGGGAATGCTGATCCATTCACTATCACTGAAATCCGAGGGCTCAGTGCCATAAAGATCCCATCACTGCCATTTCAACAGCAGGACTGCATTTCTCTATGGGAAAGGTGACATCCCCCCCACATTCCCTCCTCCAAACAACTCCAGGTGCTACAGGCATCTGCACTAAGGATCCCAGCAGCCCAGTGCTCGCTGCTGGGGCCAGACCACACATGCTCCTCCCCAGGCAGTACTCAAAGCCCCTCTACCCCAAGGCACTCACTAGTGGTGCTTCCTGACATCTGGATAATGCATTTGGATTCCCGGCTCATCTCCCGGGAGTTGAAGGGCCGGACACGCACCGCCACCTTCACTGATGCTCCCGCCATCGCGTTGGCCAGAGGTGGGTCCTGCTACCAGTGGCTGTTCTGCAAGGAGAGAGGAAAAGGAAGTTAGGAAAGCTTGCATCCACATCCCAATCCACATCTTGCAGCAGTACAGGATGAATGGAAAGCCTGTGCAAAGAAACCTCCCAGGAACACTGGTTTGCCCACATTTTACCTCTTCCTCCTCCCCATCATATCTCAGGTCAGGACCCTCAGCTCAATATCAGGGGCCATCCCCAAGGCAGGGCCACGTGGGCACTGTCAGCATCAGCACAACCCCCAAGGAGTAGTTTTCCATCCCAGGGTGCCAATGGCACTGAGCAGATAGCCCCTCATCTGCAAGCAAGCCCACAGGCCCTGCCAATCACCTGAACCTCCTGCCTCCCCTCTGACCCCAGCAAAGCAGGGGCTGGGCAGCAGGACAGGGGGGACCGGGGAGGAAAGTGATGGCATTCCATTGAGAAAGGAGGCAGCTGTTAAACACAGCTGCTGGCATGTGGCTCCCATTCAGCTCTCACAAAGCAGACGTGTGGCGTCAGCAGGAGCAGCCGTGGTGGGAATGGGTCAGCTGAAGTTTCCAGTTCACTGTAATTTTTCCACTTCTTTTGCTGATAAATTATTGATCACAAATCCCACAAGATGAAACAAACTGCTTGCCAACATCTCCCAGAGTAGTTGCCCATCCCAGCACTGGTGGCCAAGTGCTCCACAGCCCATCCCACCTTCCTCAAGCTGCAGTTAAGCCTCACTAGCATTGGTCAGAAAATGATGCTGGGATCCTTCCTTTGACCACTGTATCCTTTGGGATCCTTTTGGACCTGACAAAATCTATTCCTGCCTTCTAATGTTCCTCACTTCTCCTGTCTGTCCCTGCTCCCTGATCCCCTATGCTGAGCCTGGTGGTGGAAGAGGAGGACAGGACCCCTCAGTAGAGGCTGGAACTGGCTCCTCTGGCATTTCACCTGCAAGGGTGCCTGCAAATTCCCTAAGGCTTTTCAAGCCTGGGTTTTGCCAGCAGGATGCTCGCTCTGGGAGGAAGGAGATCAGGGAGGAACAAGCTGTGAGTGAGCAATGCCACAGCTCTGGTTACATGGGAAAAGATCAGAAGAAAGTGGAGCAGTAAGGATGGATCCTCAACACAAGATGGGTTTTCCCAGAATGGAAATTAAAACTACAGCTGAATTTGTGGAAAAGAGGGGGGGAAAAGGAAAGAAAAAAACAGATCCATAGAATGGGAAGTGTCCCAAGAGAAGGGGATGGCTTTAAAACTACCTGAGGTTTGACAGCTATGGTTTCATTTCCAAGAGGGTGAGAGGAAACCAAAAGCACGGCACAGTGAAACAATTTGCAGCAAGACAGTGTTACAAGCTCATCACTGCCTTTCAGAAACCCTTTGCCTATTTTCAAGAGCCGGCATGCCCAACAGCAGGAGAAGACAAAGCTTCTCCTGCTGGAATACCCAAACTCTCCTCTCACTGCCCCACTGGGATGGCTCTGGAACTACCACGGTGCTCAGCTAGAGATCACACCTGTAAATCCCACCAGTTCCAGAGTTCAAGCATTTGGTCTCAGGTTTTCTTGAGCTTGGATTATTTTAAGCAGGTGTTTAACACCACCCTTGAGTCCCTAAGCCAGCGAGTGGGCTGCCGCATGCCAGTGGCCTCTGCCTCAGATGGGGGAAAGGAAAAATTTAACAGGAGTGCTTCGCCAAAGGGGAATGAAAAAGTTGTTTTTCCCATGGAATGATAAGATATATTCCTAGATGGAAGGGCTGCATCCTCATGAGGCCATTGGCTCGAGCTGCTCCACCCTGTGGCACCACTCAGGGACAACAGATCTATCACTGGGCCAAACAACATGAGCACCCAGCAACTGCTCATGTCAAATGTTTCCCTCTCCTCCTGAGCCAAGACAGCTCCCTTCCCCCAGCTCTGCAGCCTCTCCAGCTACTAAGGCTCTGAAGAGGTGGGTCAGGTCCCTGGGCTCCTGCCTCCTGCACAGCCACCAGAACAGCACACCCATCAGTGACCCCACCAGTCACAGGACTGCCTGCTGCCTGCCACGGGCCATTTCATCCCTGCCCTTATTCCCTCCCACCCCTGCACTGTTCCCAGCCTCTCCAGCCCTATCACTTCCCAAGAAGAAGCTCCGGTTTCTCTTTCGTCTCACTTTTCCACATGCCTCATCTTGTTGTGTAGCCTCCATTGGTGCTGCTTGCCCTTCTCAGGGCAAGGGGCAGGAACCTGCTCAGCCCCACATCCCATACCCCCTTAGCCCACCCTCAATAGCCATGAAAAGCCCCCACCTCACCAGCAGCCGTCCCCATGTCCACATCCCAGCGTATTCCTATCTGGCTAGCCTTGCCCCGTGGCGTGGGCTCCTCTCCCTGCCAGTACTGCCTGCTGCAGAGCCCCAAGCTTGACTCCATTTTCCACTCCATCCATTTCCTTCACCTTCCTCGGTCAGCAAGGCACTGCTTCCCTCTGCTCCGCTGCAGCTTTCCAGCCCCATCTCTGCAATGGCAGCACAAGGACCCCAGGCAACACTGTGTCCCCTTGGGGACCACCAGCAGACGCCTGCGCAGCTGCTTCCCGAGCCTCCTTCCCTCCTTCCCCCAGCTTGTTTTCCTGGCTCAGCTGTGGGGAGGAATTCAGCCTGCACCCACATACCATGGGAGCACCACGAGTCGCGGGCACTCAGCGTCCTGCAGAGAGAGGGGCCGGGCTGCAGTGGGCAGGGGCAGGCAGCCCCCCCTCCCCCCGAGCCCAGGCAGCTCACTCTGCCTGGGGACAGCCAGCCACCGCCTGCTTAATCCACTGCCATCGAGAGAAATTCAATAAGCCACGACCAGCCTTTCTCTGGGAGCGGGCCAGCACCACGGCCCCACTCCCTGCTCCCTCCCCGCCGCTTCCCAGGGCTACCCTACACATGAAGGAGGTGGCAGAGGAGAACAGCCAAGTCCCCGGGGCCAGGGAGCCAAGGCACATCTGGGCCTGTCCCCTAACTCTGCAGGGCATCCCTTTCCCCCATTCCCATGCAGCCTGCTGGCTGTACCCATCCCTATGGCATACTGGTCACTTCCAGTGAGGAGCAAAAGACCTAGAGAGCCATGATTAACTGGATCAGCTAAGATTAATTGGGCAGAGATTAGCTAATGAAAGCTCTCTTAAATCCAAGGGCTACCAATTGGCAGCCTCTCCTGCTGAGAGGTGACCAGTGAGACAGGGAGCATTGTCCCCAGGTGCCACCCACAGCAAGCTCTTCCCCAAAGGATGCTAAGGAACATGCCTTGCTGCCGGTCCCCCAGCTCCAGCACATGAGGAGCTGCCCGCGCCCAGGGAAATCCAAGGTGAGTTTCCCTTTGTCTGTGCGCATCCAACCCCACGTCACCTCAGTGACGAGGGTGGACGCCCCATCTGGCTGCACCAGTGTGTTCTCAGCAGCCACCAGGCTTTGTTGTAGAGAGCCCTTCCCCTGCATCCCTCACTGGGGCCCCTCAATTCTGACTGCAGCCACGGGACTCTGCTCTGCCTCTAGGGCAGCAGGGGACGTGGTGCCAGCTGACACGGCACCATCAATGCCTGCGGCCGAGCTGGGGGCGCGCCCCTGTCACCTCCCATCCCGCACAGGGCAAGGGGCCATGACAGTGCAGTTTTCTCCGGAGCAGCACCTGCAGCAGGGAAGCAACTCAGCGGACAGTCCAGGACAGGGGCAAGTGCCCCCCTATTCCCAGCTGAAATCCAGGCCCCTGCTTCCCTAGTGCCATCACGGGCACCCTTCTCTGTACCTCCTTGCCTCCTGCCCACCCCAATGGGGGACACAGCTCCACAGCAGCGTTTGCAGCTCCCTGAGAATTTCATGCAGATTCAATTTGCAGGTAGCAAATGTAAGGATGCAGATGAGGGGTTCTGCTCCCCATCCCTGCTGCAAAGGCAAGGAACCCCACCCCCGTCCCTGCTCTCTCCATCCTCTCTTTCACAGGCTCAAACCCACAGCAGGGAAAATCCGCATGGAAAGATGGAGAGCTCCAATGGGTGACAAGCATGGCTGGGCATGGAAAAGGGTAGGCAGCCAGGGAGGGGGCAGACACTAGGTTCCCACAACCCCAGGTTTGGGGGGCTACAGCTGTGGCCACATGAAGGGAGGTGGAGGGTGGTGGCAGGATCTGTGCCAGCGTCAGCTGCCACCTCCCAGACAAAATGGAGGTCAGTGGCAGCATGCAGAGATGGCAGAGCCACCACACCCCTGGCCGTACCCGGGGGAGGGAGGGGTCTGCTGCCTCCTCTGCCCCACCAGTCCCATAGAGGCCACCTGCAAGGGGTGGCATGAGAGCCCGGCTCACAGGGGGTCTTCAGGATCTGGGGAAGGGGTCACTGCCCCATGAGGGATGAGGAGGGGGAGGAGGAGGAAGCAGAGGAGGAAGACTATGGGGCAGGTGCAGGGCTGCTCCCTGGGAGCCTGGATGACCAAGCATGGAGCTCTGCACCAGCCCTACGCCCCGGGACCAGCCCCTCCAACAGCCAGCAGCCACTGTGCTGGCCCACGGTGACACAGCGGCCCTTGTCCAGCTGCTCCCAATGCAAGGTCAGTGGCAGCTGCTCGTCCTTGGGGGGCAAGAAGAGCCTCAGCATCGCAGCATCTTTGGCAAGAGCCCCAATTGGGGCATCAACTGCCCCCTCCAGTGCTGTCGTTAGCTGGATGATGACGCAAGATGGCTCAGCTGCATGACCAAAGCCACCTGCCCCGGAGGAGAGAGCGGGGCAGTGGCTCTGAGGTAACAAGGGGTTCCTGTGCCCTCCGCCATGGGTTGCGGGGATGGCATCCTCCCCTTCCGCACCCAGATGCAGAGGCATTGCCCCGTCATCGGGCAGGAACCCCCGACTGGATCCTTCTGGAAGACGGGGCGGCACCCGCCGGCCACGGCGCTGGGGACCTGCGGGCAGTTCCCCCCAACCTAAACTTCGCACATCGCGGGGCCCCGCAAAATGGCCGGCGGCCGCAGCCCCCCCGCCCCGCCGGATCCCCGGGGGTTCGCATCCTGCTCCCCCACGCCTAGCTTCGCCCCTGCCGGGGCCGCGAGGGGCGGCACCGCCACCCCGGGGCAGCCCCGGTTCTCCCTCCGGCCAGCGCCCGGGGGGCGCGGCGGGGCTCACCCGTCCCGCCCAGTGCCGCCCGCCCCTACCTGTGATGGCCGTGCCCGGTTCGGCGGGGCGCAGCGCTCAGTCCCGGGGGCGGGGGGCCGGCATGAGGCCGAGCCGCGCGGTGCGGCGCGGTGCGGTGCGGTGCTGTGCGGTGCAGCGCCGGTGCCGGTGCTGGTGCGGGTGGCGGCAGCCCCACCCCTGCGGTCCCCGCCCCACACGCTGGTTGGCCGCCGCCGCCGCCGCCACCGCCCGGAGCGGGGACGGGGGGGACCGGGAGGGCGAACGCGGGGATGGAGAGGTGACGTCAGCGCATCCCCCAGCCCCGGGCGCGCTGCGGAGCCGCCGCAGGGGCGGGGCGGGGCGGGGCCTCGCGGCACCCGGCAGCCGTCGCCTGGCAACCGGCACCGGCCCGGTACCCCGGTACCTCGGTACCTCGGTAACCCGGTACCCCGGACCCCGCTACCCCTGGACCTCGGCGCGGAACCCCAGGGAGCGGCCCCTGCCAGGGCTCCCCGCGCCTCCGGCGCCGTTCGTTCGCTCCTCCGGCCGCCGGCACCCCGCCCGCAGCGCGGGGCCCGGCCGCTCCTGCCCATCTGCGCCGGGAATTCAGAGCCAGCGCAGAAAGCGGATTATTCCTTCGCCGCCAGCTGTTTTCAGCAGCGCGGTCGCCCTCGCCCCACGGCAGTCCCGAGGCCACGGCGTCCCCTCCCCGCCCCAGCTATGCCCCAAATCTCCCTAGAGGACAGGCAGCTGAGACGTCTTCTTCACTCGATATCTTGTCACTTTGGTAGATGAGAGCAGTCCCCAGGCTGACTGTGGTTTTCATCATCCATGCAGGGGCAGGCACACCTGCCCCGAGCTCCTCTCAGTGATGGCCATCCAGCTGCTGGGCAGATGTGCTTTCAGCTGGCACCATTGCCAGACCCATGTCCCTGTCCATGTCTTCAGCACCAACTGCTGGTGTCAGCTCTGCTGGGGGGGAATTGTCACCCCTACGCTGTCATCCTCAGTTAAAACTTTGCTCACTGAGGGTGAGCACCCACTCGTGGACCTGCCAGAGCTGGAAGTGGGCAGCTTGTTTACATTCCAGAGTATAGATGGCAGAGAATGTGCCAGAGGATGGGCATGATGCAACTGACTGTGGGCACACACGGCAGGCAACAGCATATTGAATTCCCTCGTGGACCCTGTGGAATCATCAGGATACACTGGAATGCTCACAATCCAGGCTGAGCCCACAGAGCACAGCTCGCTGCAGCAGTGGGATACTGTGGCTGTATCCCACCCCACAGTTCTGCCCTGGCACACACCATCCCACTGGCCAGCCTTCTCCAGGCACCTGTCACCTGCCCAGAGGTCCCTCTGCAAGGCAGGTCCCTGGCCAGGGAGCCCTGGTCGACAGGAGCTTTGTGCTGCAGGAGTTATGACCATGGCAGCTGTGCCAGGCCAGTCCCAGCACAACCATCCCGTGGCACAGGACCTAGGTGCCCACAGCAGTGATCCCACCTGCTGGGATACTGTTGGGAACCATCAGCCATAGTGTCCTGGGGGCCATGGGTCCAGGGTCTGCCTGGGTGCTTGCCAGTCCCAGAGGCTGGCATGCCTGAGGAGCAACCCTCCAGCACTAGCAAGGGGATATGCCCCAAAATGAGGGGTCTAAGACAGCAGGAATGGCACTGGTGACACATTAACTGGACAGAAGAGGCAACCAGGGGTAGAGTCCAGACTGGTGGGGGGAGCACTGAGCTGCGGGTCAGGGTCCACGGGACACTGGACAGTGCTGGCACAGGATGCAGTGTGCTGCAATGCTGGCTGCTGCTCAGGCAGCCTCCACTGCTCCTCTCCTCCAAGCTCAGCTCCTGGGGACAGTACGGCGTGCCATGGCCACCAGCCCGCTCCGCATCCCCCCGCCCCAGGCACTGCTCCAGCCTCTGGTTGTGCCAGAGAGGCTGCTGCTCGGGCCGGGGCCCAGCAATGTGCCCCACCGCATCCAGGCTGCAGGCGGACGGCAGATCCTGGGCCACATGCACCCCGAAATGCTGCAGGTGAGCTGCTCCAGCCCAGCCTTCTTCCCCTCCCCTCCTCTGCCTCCCCCCTAGGAGGGGTTAGAATGGCAAGAAGAGCAATAACAGCGCTGATCAGTGCCCTGCCACTGCAGGTGATGGATGAGATCAAGGCAGGCATCCAGTACGCCTTCCAGACGCAGAACCAGCTGACCCTGGCCATCAGCAGCAGTGGCCACTGTGCCATGGAGGCCGCCCTCTTCAACCTGCTCGAGTGTGGTGACACCATACTGGTGGCCATCAACGGCATCTGGGGACAACGTGCTGCTGAGATTGCCAGGAGGCTGGGTATGCCGGGGACAGCCAGATGGCATGGAAGGGCTGAGGGGACTGGGTTTGCGAGCAGGATGCCAGAATGTGAGCCCTGGCTTCTGTTCCAATCCTGGTGGGAGTGACCAGTGACGCGGCTTCCACAGCCAGAGAGCAGTCCAGGTTGTTTCCAGGGTGATGTCCCTCCATTTACAGTGGTTTATGGCTTTTCCACTGGGCAAATCTGCAGGACGCCAGACCCTGGCAAGCGGCTGTGCTCCTAGTTCATGTGTGACAGATTCCCCTGTGGAGCAGGTGACTGCCCAGTGGGAAGTATACCCAAGCCTCACTCTTCTCTGCTCAAATTCCTCCCAGGAGCCAATGTCTATGAGCTGCTGAAACCCCCGGGCGAGTATTTCACTCCAAGGGACATTGAGGAGGTGAGTCCTGACCACATGCAAGGCAGTGGGCGTGAGCTGACCTCTGGTGTGGTCACCTTCCCTCTGTGTCATGCAGGGCCTGGTGCAGCACAAGCCCTCAGTGCTCTTCATCACCCACGGCGAGTCCTCCACCGGCGTGCTGCAGCCACTGGAGGGGCTGGGCGAGCTGTGCCACCGGTCAGTGCACAATGGACACCCGTGGTCGCCACTGGGGGTTGGGCCGGGGGATTTACATGACCTGGGCTCTTCCCTGGCTCTGTGGGTCTGGAAGGTGTTGGTGCCAGTGAGACACGTGGCTCCTGGGGGGATGAGGGTGCTAGGGCTGCAGGCACAGGGGTGGCAAGAGGAGGAGGCAGGGACAGCAGGCTGAACTCTGTCCTCTCACAGTCACGGCTGCCTGCTGCTTGTGGACGCGGTGGCATCACTTGGGGGAGCCCCCATCTTCATGGATCAGCAGGGTAAGAGCCACAGTACCACCATGGGCACTCACGGGACAAGGGGGTTCATGCCTGGGCCAGGGAGAGGGGGCAGTGGGATCAGCCCCTCTGCCCATATTTTGGGCTAGTAGCAGTAGAAACCGGGCCAGCTGCAGCCGAGAGAGCCTGTTCCTCTCGAGCGACCATCAGCAGTGCCAGGGGGTCCCCCAAAGCAGCCCAAACACAAGCAGGATCTGTAGCGTGTGCCATCCTTGTGCTTCCCACCCACCACTCACAGCTGGGCTGAGGGGACTCAGCATTTTCCCACTGGGAGAGTCTGAACCCTAAGGAGTTGCCTTCCTTTTTGGGCAGAGATCGATGTCCTATACTCGGGGTCCCAGAAAGTCCTCAACAGCCCCCCTGGCAGTGCCCCTATCTCATTCAGTGAGCGAGCCAGGTAAGAGCAGCCCGGTCCCACTGGGGTGGAAGGCAATGGGGCTGGGGGAGGCAGTCACCTCCCTCCTTTGCCAGCCATCTGCTCCTGTCCCGCTCTGTGGAGAGCATGCCCAGCATGTGGAGAGCATGCAGCAGCAGTGCTGTGGGGGCAGAGTCCAGCCCATCCCTGGGCAGCGACTGGGCGCTGGAGCCAATCTCTGCACTTGCTTTAGGGGGACTGATCCCACCTTGGAGCTGGTGGGGTGAAGGTCCAGCCTCTCCCCAGCATTATGCTTCACCAGGGAGAAGGTGCTGAGAAGGAAGACGAAGCCCCGGTCCTTCTACCTGGATATAGGCTGCCTGGGAAACTACTGGGGCTGCGACGGGGAGCCACGAAGGTGAGGGCAGGCTCTCTGGTCACAGATGGCTGCAGCTGTCCCCCATCCAGCCTTCACCCTGGCTCAGGAGCTGCCTGCTCTTCAGGGCTCAGACCCTGTCTGCCCATCACCCTGTCTGCTGGTCACAACCCTCTGCACTAAATGATGGAGAGGGAGAATGCTGTGCCTCTGTGCCCCATACTGCAAGCAAGGGGCTGCTCTGCTGCAGCCAGGCTGAACCCCTCCGGGTGCCCCTTGAATTTTGCAGGTACCACCACACGGCACCCATCAACAGCTTCTTCAGCCTGCGGGAAGGCTTGGCCATGCTGGCAGAGATAGTGAGTGACACCTGGCGGGCAGGGGGACACCAGCAGCGCCAGGTGAGCGCCGGGAGATGCCTGTCAGCAGCAGAGACTTTCTCTCTCCTCTCTGCCTGCAGGGTCTGGAGAGCTCCTGGGAGCGACATCGGGCCAACTGCACCAGGCTGTGCCAGGGGCTGCTCAGCCTGGGGCTTGAGCTCTTTGTAAAGGAGGAGGTGGGTTCAGGGCAAGCCCATCACAATGGGTTAGGGGCAGCGTGAGGACACAGCCCAGCGCAGCTCAAGATATGCTTGGACAGCTTTTGATACTGAAGAAAAAACAACCCCATTAGCAATGCTCTCTCCTGGCAGTCTGCTGGGCTCACCAGGGGGTGGGGCCATAGGATTGAACCCAGTTTCTCTGTTCCCCAGAAGGTGAGACTTCCCACCATCACCACTGTCAGAGTGCCTGAGGGCTACAACTGGAAGGACATCACAGCCTTTCTGATGGACAACCACGCCATGGAGATCACAGGAGGCCTGGGCCCCACAGCAGGCAAGGTGGGCAAAATCCTCCCCTCCTGCTGCCCATGGCTGGGCACCAAACCCCCATGATTCGCTGGATTCACTGCGGCTCTCTGGCCATCGACAGTGTGTGGCTGGCTTTGTCCCACATCCCATCGCCCGCAGCAATGCATAGCAGCATAACCACACACAATCACCCGCCTAATTGAATAACCACGCACACAATTAGCAGGGTGACACATCTCTAGAGGAACCGGGTGTTAAGTACAAGAGCAAGCAGGGAGCTGCGCACACCCGCTCATGCCTGGCTGTGTGTTCCCCACCTCCGCACGGGACCCTGCGACCTGCCACCGGCCGCAGGGAGGCAGAGGTGGGTGCTGCAGGGAGGCAGAAATGGGTGCTGCATGGAGACACTCGCCCTTCTCCTCCCAGGTCCTGCGCATCGGCCTCATGGGCTGCAACTCGACCAGTGAAAACGTGAACCGAGTGCTTCGAGCCCTGCGAGACGCCCTCGGCAGCTGCCACCGCAGCAGGCTGTGAGCTCACCTGCCCGGGGGGCTCGGGAGAGGCGGTGCAGCAATTCCCTCCGTGCCTGGCTGCAGGCAGCTGGCAGCAGAGGGACTCCACTGCCTCCCTGGGATGCTGGCAGGAGACATGGCAACACCCAGGAAGCCAAGCAGGAGTGGGAAAGGAGAAGTTGGAATAGCAGGGGACACGGAGGAGAGAGCTGCACTCAACAGACATGAGACATCTCAAAACCCCTTCTCCCATCATCCCAATGGCCTGGTCCCCCAGCTCTTTCCCTTCACCAGGGCATGGCAGCCCCTTGGCAAGCTGACACGAGGGCTGGATGCAGGATCTGACCAAAAGTCCTTTCCCCTCCCACCACCACCAACCTCAGCTGACCCTGCACCAGAGCTCTGCAGTGCAGGATGCCAGCCATTCCCCCCAGATTCTGTACCGTGGGACGAAACACCCGGTGCCCAGCTCTGCAAGGGTAGCCAAGAGGCTGTGCAACCCCCCCAGCCGCAGCAGACATGAGCTCTCTCCCTGGAACAACCTTTCCTCAATAAAGCAATGTGGCAGCATGCTGCTCCCAGGCCCCTTGCACCCGGCTCTCCTTGCACCCCCCCAGAGTTTTGAGACACCCCAATGGGGCGGCAGCAGGGTTCCAACTCAGCTCTGCTGCGGAATTTCTTGCCGGATCTTGGAGAGGAGCTGGGACATTGCTGAGCGGCGCGCACTGTCCTGGATCCGGTACACCTGAAACTAAGTGGAAGCAGGTAGAAAGTGAGGGAGAGGCTGCCAGGGGCCAGAGGGCTCCGGGGGGGCCAATTCCAGCACATCTCCAGCTGCCCAGCCCAGGTGGTTTCTGGGGATGCCTCGCGAGACCAGCTGGAGGTCTGGGGTTACCTGGCTGAGCAGGATGTCAAAGTAGGCTGTGTCCCAATAAGACCCATCCTTGCTGGGGAGCTGCAGGAGAGCTCGGGTGTTGGGGTCTGCCTTCCAGCTGTCAGTGCGTGCAGAGTGGCCAAAATGGAAATGGAGGAAGCGTCGGGGGTCCCGGGCAAAGCTCTCTACTTTATGGTAGAGGGAGGCAAGGTCCATGGTCGCTCCTTGGAAGAGGTTCTCCTCTGGGTTCAGAAAATGGGGCAGGTGCCGGGTGGCCAGGCAGCGGAGAAGGATCACCAAGAGCCTGTAGACAGAGCCCTCCAGGTCCTGCCAGTCCTCCAGGGAGGGAAAGAGCTCCGTGCTCCACAGCAGCACCATCTGTGGGGAGGGAAAGAAGAACACAGGAACAGGCACAAGGCCTGATCCCACAAAGGCCAAATCTTCACACCCTGCACGTCACCATGCAATGACCTGTGGGGCTGAATCCATGTCAGCTGGAGCTAAAGATGCTTTTCTGAAGGTCAGATGCATACTGTGCCCTTTTTCTTTAAAAAAACCCAACCAGACAACCAACCAACCAAAAAAAAACCAACAAAACAACACATCAAAGAATGCAACATAAAGCAAAAAACACAGGATTTGGGTTACTTAGAGCTGGAGCCATTCTCTCAGCAGAAAACATTTCTCTACCCAAGGCCCAGAGAGCTGTCACAAGGAAGAGGGCACACCCAGATCATGCCACCAGGTGCTGTCCCCAGCACGGCCCCTTTCCCGACCAGTATCACCAGTCGGCATAGGTCCAGAGTGCTGAAAACAGGTTGGGTGGGGAGAGGTTTTTTTGTCAGCAGAAATGTCACCCTCAGCCCTGTATGGTCACCTCCCACCACACGAGGGTATGGGGCAATTTGCAGCATGGCAGCCCAGTGATGACATCCCCAGCAGACATAGGCAGCCTGTGCCAGAGAACACCTAGTGTGTCAACACAGAGCCCCAGCTCTGAATGCATCGAGTGTCTCAGGCTGGAGGTTGCTGGTTCAATCCAAGGAAGAAGGACCAAAGCCCTCTGACCATGGCCGGCAGCAGCATGCATCTTTTGCAAACACAGCCATGGGCTGGTACATCCCAAAGCACTGCAGGCACTCGCCCTTGTCAATTGGATTCTTCTGCAGGGGAGCTGCCTTGGCTCTCTTGCCCAGAGAGCCACAGTCCCAACCAGCAGAACCTCCCTACCTTCAGGTAGTTGAAAGTGAGACCGCTTTTCCCACCCTCCTCTCCCCAGTCCTGGTCGCGGAGCTGGTCGAGCAGGCGAAGGCCGTCCAGACGAGGTCCCTTCAGTGTGTCCACTGCGTGTAGCAGCCTCAGGATGGGGAGGTGAGTGGAGGATCTGGAGGGAGAAAGTGGAGTCTGGTGAGAGGGAGGATAGAAATGTGCACCCTCCCAGGGTGGGGAGAGTGTACCTCCAGTGACCTGGTGTGTGGGGGGACTCTCCCAGCCACATGCATGGCCCCAGGCATGCAGCATCTTGGATCCACCTCCTGCACTCACCTCTGGCAAAGCAGAACTTGGGAGGTTTGGAGTGAGATGGGAATGCTGCTGAGCAGCTTCTTCCCGGGCGGAACAAGAGTGGAGCGAAGTAGGGTTGTGCTCCCCTACATGCAGTGGGGAGGGCTGCAGGCTGCCTCAGAGGGGAGGCTGCTTTGGTCCCCAAGGAGGGGCCAAATGTCCAGCTGGACCACACTGTGCCCAAAATAAGCCCAGACTGGTCCAGCCAGCCACTCAACCCCTCCATGGGGCTGGGTAGCTGTGGTGGCAGGGGAGATACATGTCACTCCAGCCCTGTTCTCTCCTCCAGCCTGCCCTGGGAGGCACCTCATCACCCTGCTGCTGCCAGATGCCTAGGCTTGTTTCTGAAGCCCAAGCAGGGATCTGAGAGCTGCCACCCTCCACATGGTCAGGGTTCAGCTCCTGCAAATAATTTCAAGGGGCTCCTTCAGTTGCATTCCCCCTCTTTCCTTGAGCTGCCTGAAATTTGGCTGAGGTTTTTTGCCAACACCAGGAAGCGGGTTTGGGCATCATGAGGAGGCGACTTCAACCCCTGCTGACATGTCCCCATCCTTTCCTATCCTCTTTTTGCCTACACCCAGCAGTGTTGCCAGCCAGGGGGGATCGCTGGCAGCCAAGTCACTCACCTCCAGCAATGGGGAGAGGCAGGGACAAAGTGGGCCTCTTCTGTGGCCTTCCGGAGGCTGCCTTCAGGGAAACCCCTGTCAATCTGCCTCCCCTGGAGCTGGAACGGCTCCTGCTGCCTCCTCACCACCGGAACAATGTCAAAGCGAATGTTCTTCCAGCTGCCACGGATCAGCAGGGAGAGCTCCATGGCATCTTCCTGCAGATTTTCGGCGCTGACGTCACCTAGATATGGAGGGTTTGGCAGTAGTGAGGAGGTTAAGGCAGCCGGTCCCGCAGGCTGAACCAGGTATGTGCTGCAACGCCTGTGACCGTGTCCCACCCCACTCGACTCCTCCCTTTCCAGTGCTGCAGTTTGGCCACGATTTCCCAGCTAAAACCCCTCTCCCAACCATGCTGGGGTGGTTCATGGGAAGGAGCATTGCTCCGGCAGGGCTTAAGGTCAGGCACAGCAGGAAGTCTCGAGCAGCCAATTCAGGCTGTGCTTCTGGGTGGCTGAACAGTCCCAAGCAAAACAATGTGGTCCAAGAAAAATGGACCAAAAAAGGTCTCCGGCTGTGGGAGCAGAGGAAGATGAAGGTCTCTGTCTTGGCTGTGGAGGAAGGAGGGAGTGGTGGGCTTGCTGGGGCTGGGTTAAGAGACTTCCAGACCTGCTGGTTCTCTCGCATCACCTTCTCATCAAGACTGAGCTTTACTTCAAGAAGCACCTTTGGAGCATGAAGAAGCTGACAGAACCATTATGGGCATTCCCAGGGTCCCTTCCCACCATGTCTTTCCTGAGGATGCTGGTGCCAGCCGAGGCCCGTGTGTTCACAGAGTCAGACCCATGCCTCAAGGTCTTGGTTCAGCTCTGATGCACTCCCAGCTCACCCTCCAAACAGCCTCCTCCAGGGAGCAGGGGGCACTCGGAGGCCAGGAGGCGGGAGGAGAACATGATTAGGGTGAGCCAAGCAGGGCTGGGTGAACCCTTCACCCACCAAGGAGGGTGCCATCAGCCCCAGGTGGAGATGCCTGAGGATGACTCTGCTGCCATGGGATGGCAGGGAGTAGTTTGCATCTCCTCTTCCTTAGCTGAGGGCAAAGGCTATCCCAGCACATAGCAGGGTGGTCACTCACCTGCTCATGCAGGTTTCAGTGGGTCATGCACCCAGGGATCTATGTCCCAGTGTGTTTGCAAAGGGACCACCGCCAAGCTAGGCTTGCCAGCTGTGCTGGAGGCAGCTCCTGGCTGGGAAATGCCCCGCCAGCATACGCACCTGGCTGAAGCAGGAAGCAGCGTTGGCAGTGCACGATGGCTGAAACAAGGAGCTCTTTCAGGTGCTGGAGGACTTTGCCCGGAACCAGACACCTCGCACCACCTCCATGCTCCATCGCACCCACGACACTGATCCAGTCCTCCAAATCGGTCCCTGGAGAGGGCACTTCCAGATAGCAGGTGTTCAGCCCTGGAGGGTGCCCTCCTGGGGTGTCTCTGGGCTGGCATGCCAACAGCTGCAGGGTATCACCGTCGATCCGCAGGGGCATCTCTACAGTGACAGCATCCTCAGAGGCACAGAGAGCAAACTCTAAGGCTTCCAGGTTCCTGGCGTAGTCCACAAGGAAGCGGGGCTCCCTGGCATGGACATCCTCCAACAGGGTCAGCAGGATGTCCTCAGCCCGCTGGAAATTCTCCAGCCGCTCCCTCTCGCGGGACACGATCACCTCGAGGTAGCTGTGCCAGAGGGAAGTGTTGGCTTCCATGGCAGCTCTGCTGCCGTTGTGAGCCTGCTCCGAGCAGGAGTAAAAATACGCGGGCAGGGAGGGCAGAGCTGTGTTCCCTCGTGGGGAGGGTGGAGGGAAGCCACAGCTGGGCGTTGACAAGCACCAGTGCTGGGCGACTCCCAGGGAGAGGTACTGGGAGCAGCATGTCCCACTGGGGCAGACCCAGGGTGGGGGACTGAGTCACACCGCGGCCCTCCTCCGGCACTCCAGAAGGGTGACAGCGAGCGCTCAGCTGATGGGTCATGCCAGGATAAGACTGTGGTTTCCCACACTTCTCTTGGCACAGGGGCTGCGTGCCAGCAGCATCCCCTCACAGCCAGTGCCAGGTGAAGGCGACCCACTGCCCTCACGCCCTGGCTCAGCCTAGTTTAGCCTGCTGCCTGGGGCTGCTCCCAGCCTGTATGGCGCCCACGGACCTGGGCACAGCGCTGCGGTTCTGCGGGAGGGCTGCGGAACCCTGTGCCCGCCTTGCCGGTGCTCAGAGCAGCCCTGCAGGCCCAGTGCATCGCTGTCAACATCAGGCTCCAGCTCAGCGTCCATCAGGCTCCAGCTTTCGAGGTGTGGGCACCCCCCACCGCCTCTCGCCCGGGCTGAGCCCCCAGATCCGGCCCGTTCCCACGGACGGCCCCGGCCCCGGCCCCGCCCCGCAGGTAGAGCCCGGCCCGCCCCGCAGGCCCGCCCTGGCCGGGGCGCCGTTTCCTGCCACCGGGCTGCGGGGCAATCGCCCCGGAAGGACGAGAGAAGCGTTGCTTTGGGCCCCAAATCCGCCGTGCGGTGCGGTGCGGGAGCGGCGGGGGCAGCCCGTGCGGTCCCGCAGCCTGGCCCGCAGCCTGGCCGGTGCGGGGCTCGGTCCGTCCCGCCACGCCGAGCTGCCCGGCGGGCTCAGCCCCGCCGCAGGGACAGGACAGGGACTGGCCGTACCCTCCCACCTGCCCCCGCTCCTCTCCATCTCCCACAAATCCCGGAGCGGGGATTTCCGGGCACGTTGGCTGGCTGAATGGCGTGCCCTTCCCGGGACACGTTTCCGGGCTTCTCGGGCCGGGAGCAGGAGCTTGTAATGGTTATGGCTGGAAGGCTGGGATCTCCCAGCCGGACAGCGTGGTTCAGGCGTTCCAGGGTTCCCTGCAAGCTGATCCTGCCCTTGGTCAGAGTAGGGAAGGGAATGGGGGAGTGGGGGAGGCTCCGTGGCAGCAGAGGCCCCTGTGGCAAGGGAGCCCGAGCCGAGCATGGGAACCGCTTCTGGGGAGGGGAGGGAGCATGCCATGGGGCTCATGGCTGGGCCTCCCACCTCCTGTGGCTCAGGCTTACCCTTTTATACAGCCCAGATGAGGTTTCTGGATCTCCCCAGAGTTTTTTCCAGTTCTCCTTGTGCCTCCTTCAGTCCCCTGTGACTGAGGAGCAGACTTGAAAGTAGGGGTCTGTCCCTCACGGCCATCTGTCCTTCTGCCAGCTGACTGAAGGAGCTCTGCCTGTGTCCCTGGAGAGCACAAGGCTCAGAGCTCTCACCTGCAGAGCATCTCTGAGCGCCTGCAGTTCAAGCCATGGAGATGAACAGTAGCCAGCACTGGGCTTCTCAGTACTGGAAGGCTGGGGGTGCTCAGGCCTGGGAAGCCTCAGCCAGATTTTAAAAGCCTGACAATGGATGACAGGCTCTGAGTCTCCTTACCTGAGCCCTGCACTCCAGCTTTCACCTGACCTGAGCAGGGGATGCTCAGTCCCCCACACTAATGATTGTCCCAGCCAGGTCTGAGCGTGCAGCTTGGCCTTTACCCTCTTCCATCATATGGGAAAGACAAGCTGGCTGGTGTCCCAGAGAGGGACCAAAAGTGACAGACTCCCTGCTGCCAAAGGAGGGCTCCTGTGGGCTTCACCCTCCCTGTCAGAGTGGTCTGGGCTTATCCTGAAGGATGCTGAACCCGAGCCAGGCAAGAAAGATGACTGCTTCATGCACCGATATGGGAAAAAAGAAGGCAGAGAGATGCAGGCCACCACTTTTCTGTGGGTGGTGGGTGACAGTTCACTGCTGGCAGGGTTGCCCTAGGAGCATCATTTTATCATGGGTGGAGTCCCTGCTGTGGCAGCAGCCAGGACATTCCTTCTGTCAGTGCCTGGCTGGGATGCTGGAGGAGGCCATGGGGATCATGCAGAAGCTGGACTGAGAGCAGCCGTGGCTCTATAGGAAGATAAGGCTGGTCATGGCAGGGAGACATGTATGTCCCCCAGATGTCTTGGTGCTAGTAGGGTAACCATGCCCTCCTGGCATGGTGCTAGCTGACCACACAGTGTGACCCTGCTCCCATCACTGCTAGAGTTCTGATGCCAGGAGGAGCGAGTGTGATGTAATCTTCTCAGCTCATCACTGCCTTTGGCACTGGCACTTTTTGGACCTCTACGTGCTACAGTCAAGAGGTTGGTGCTGCAAAATGCTGCCCTCTGCCCCTTCCTGCAGGCCAGCACTTTTCCCCTTTGTCCTTTCCCCTATCCCCCTTCCTCCTTTCCTCTCTACCTTTTCCTTCCTCCTTCTTCCTTCCTCTTTCCCCCCTTCCCCTTCTTCACCCTTCCTCTTTCCCCTTCCTCTACCTCTTCCTGTCCCCTTCCCATTCCTTCCTCTCCCCTGCAGATAAGGGGCCAGGGGCAGACCCTGGAGGAGCAGCTTCCTGGCTGCTGCCAGGCACAGTTGGAGAAGGAAGAGTGATGCTAGGTGGTGGCACATCTGGAGACACTGCTGGCCAGCCAGGAGAGGTGGGAGCAGCTGGAGGTTCTGCCAGAACTCTGGGCAGGAGGGAGCAGAGCTGGCATGGGGAGGGAATGATGCAGATCAGGTGGTGGGGGACAGCAGTAACTCCATCCCACGTGGATGGTTGGGTAAGCCCTAGCTGGAGCCGTGCCACATGGAGTGAGCCACAGAGCAGGCATGGCACACAGCTGGATGGTCAGGACAGTGCCAGGACCCTTAACCCCACCATCAGCCCAAATTGAGCACAACTCCATGGGAGGCAAGACAGTGGGGAAAAAAATTCCTAGCGAGAAGGTCGGTGAGGCCATGGAATACATGGCTGGAGCATGCGGTGCCCTGTCTGGACGAGTCACCGGAGGCTGGCTGCAAGTGCCCTGGTACTGGCAGAGAGTCCGGGCTGAATGAGCTAATTGCTCCTTTTCCATCTCAGCATTTTATGGTTCTATGAATTTTTTCTCTGTTAGAAACAGGACAGAGAAAACAACCCAAAAATAAGAGCAAGGGCAAGCAAGAGAGAGGAGAAAACCCAGGGGCATGGGAGCACTAGGCGTGGCAGGGCTGGGCGAGGGGCTGCAACAAGCCTCCAGTGTCCCTCACCCAGCTCACCTCTCTGGAACACTGCTGCGCCTGGATCCTGCAAGACGCCATTGTCACCCAGCAGAAAGACTCTGGGGGGCTGAGCTGGGGGGCTGAGGAACTGATGGAGGACAGGGACACTGGGATGCAGGAGGTCGGTGATGCTCTGCCCCTGCACACCAGCTCCACACCAACGTCAGCACTTCTGCATCCCAAAAGCCCCCAGAGTGGCATGGCCCCCAGCAAAATGGCTGGGATGGGGAGGGGGGACAAAGGCAGGGAAGGTAGAGAGGAAGAGAGAGTAATTTAACATGACAGGCTGTTTATTTTGGCAAAAAGGGTCTCTTTTCAACAGATTTCAAAGCTTGGCCCCAGGGCTGGGGGGAACCACACAGAGGGGTGGGAGGTGAGGGGTGCGAGGCGGGGGGGTTCAGTGGGGCACCCAGACTGAGAGGAATGGAGAAGAATCCCCCATCTGTTTGTCCCTGGGGCACTGCTCCAGTTGTACTTGCGTGCTCCTGTGGGGTGTCCCCCTGCAGGGTGCCCCCCTGGGCGTCCGCGCACTCCTGCACACACGTGCTTGCCTGCATGCACCAGCACACGTTCGCACGCTCCCCCTGCCCCTGCTCCTTCCTTCAGGCCAGGGCTCAGCTGGAGTCTTGGCTTCCCCCAGTGACATTTCAAAAGAGGCTGTTTATTAAAAAAAAAAAAAAAAGGGGGGGAAAAAATTGCTAGGAAAGAAATAATTATTATAATCACATTAAGAGCTTTGGCTGTAAAAACCCTGCGAGGGCGCAGGGAAGGAGCCGGGGCTGCTCTCGGCAGGGAGTGCAGGGGGCGGTTTTCCTGCCTTGTGCGCTTTTATTTTCCAGTCCAGGTCCAACAACTTCTCCCCTCCTCCCCTTTTCCTCTTCTTTATCCTGGGAAATGAAAACAATTTATTTAATGATGGATCGTTCCTTTCTCTGGTCACTGACCTTCTGCGTGAATTTCTGCTGAGCTCGGCGGAAAACACGAGGCTGGGTTGTGGATCACATCTGTGGGTGGGGGAGGGGGGGAGCTCACCCTCATCCTTCCCAAAATCTACAGCAACTGTTCTGGGGAGCAGGAGGGGGCTGGCCGAGAAGGTCCCCACCACAGTGGGAAGTGTTGCTGCAAGCGCTGTCTGTGCAGACTGGGGGCTTTGGGGGCAGATATGGGGGCTGCTGCAGCCCCCAGAGCCCTTCCACCCCATCCCCTTCTCTCCTGGAGCACCCTCAGTGGTTCCCAGCATCCACTGCCTTCTCCCTCACCTGGGCTGGGGTGCAAGGGCTGGGCTGGGGTGCAGTACCGAAGTGGGAGTGAGGAACAAAGGAGTGGCCTCCATCCTGCCAACAGTCTTTGCTGCCCAGTGGGGCTTTCCTTGCTCAAGGTGTCTGCCGAAAGTGGGTTTTGGACCTAATCAGAGATGAGACCAGAGAGGCATGTGGGGCTGCATGGGTCTCCCAGCAGTGGCCAGCAATGTATCCCCTGTAGCAGGCAGTCTGGCTTCTGGCCAACCCACTGCTTGACTGGGTTCTGCTCCCTGGGGAGGGGAATGCTGGAGCAGTGAGGGAAAGGGGCAGCATCACAGCAACCTTTGGTTCAGGGGGCTGTCAACACCTAGCATGCATTGCCCCAGGGCCCC